GACTTAGAGACTTTGTAAGGTCATAGTATATACTTCTCGTAGTTTCTAATGTCTAAAAGCAATCTCTAAAAGTCGAAAGAGGATACTATAATAATTGTATAAAACACGGTCAGAGGTGACTCGACATCTTTTAATTTGCTTCCATGTAACCACGACCAATATAATACTGGCTACTATCCTGTTGATAATTTTAATTGGCCTACTATATTTAGTTTGCACACTCGTATAGATTCTATTGAAGATAATACGTGAATCTGGACGATTTCATACATTTATGAAATTATTTTAATTCTAATGGCAATTCGGTATTTGTTTTACTATGTTAATAAAAAGAGTATAACCTATTGCCAGGAATGTGTTTAGACACAACCACAGTATATAACAAGCCAAAAAAGAAATCTGACCCGGAAATCAAACCAAACTTCTGCCCGACAGCAATGTTCAATGTGCCGACTAGGAAATCCTTTAAAGTTATCATACAGTAATTGATTTCATTTCAAAAACATAAATGAAAAATGAGGGCCAAGTTCAATTTTAAGAATATGCGTCGTTGTCGACTTTGCCGAAAAAACAATTAAGATCTATATGGGTGCCAAGTATAGAAAATCTTAAAATTTTGGTTACAAGAACATAAAACATTCTAAAATAAATTTATAAAAAATTTCTTGGTGCTCCGACAATATTTTCTACTTAATAGGTAATATAATTTCTTATATTTTAACAGAAAATTATTTGCAAAATGTAAATATTTCACTTAGGATGTAATTCAAGCTCAAAATCTGTCTTATTTTTTATACCTTACTCGTGGCGTTACTGCTGTCTTCATGCACTTTGCGAATATTAAATTATCACTCACACTTGATGACTAGTACTTTATAAGTTAAACAACCTGTCCACGGATTTAAACGTTTAAAAAAATGTCCGTATAGTCACCTAATTTCATACTTACATTTGTTATTACTTTGTTGATACTAATTATCAATAATTTTCAGTTTTTAGATTTTTTTCTGTGTATATGACTAATAGTCGACCTGGATGCCAAATACCAAGTTTATAGATCATCTGGAAGTGAGTGAGTAAGTCATAAAAATGCTGGTTTTTTAAAGGTTCATATATATATTATAACAATTTGAGTAAAATTAATAAAATTTTGTATTCTAAACAAGCTAAGGGGTTTTAATATATGTGACAAATTTTATCTATGTAGATTAAATAGTTTTAGAGTTGTGAAGGGGTCAAGAGTAGCTCGAAGGCGCCAGAGGGCATTCGTCGATCTCCGGCCACCTTAGGAAGTGGCCTGCGGGCGACGATTTTATTCATCGTCCGAACTTCTAGAGGACTGCGATCGAAAAGTGACGGTCGCGACGGGTGATAAGACCCGTCGTGGGTGAGACCGGTCAATATCTGTCGGGGGTGGCGGAAGGATGCAATTGCGATTCTCGCTCCCCCAGCCATTGGCAAGGTGAGGAACACCGAGGTGGTTTTTAATCGGTAAGAGTCCGACAGACCCCTTCGCCATCCCCCACTGGGCGAAGGACGTCCATGAGGATCTTCCACACCGTTAACAAAAATAATAATTACATACGGCTGCGTCGCGAGTTCCTTTTTCTTTGAACTTGGCTGGACACGCTACCGCCTGTCTAGATATTGTTATAATACATATCATTTATACCTAAATGTGTTATTGAACAAGGACAACAACTTTTACATTTATTTTACAATGCATATTTACAGATGTATATTATAAAATGTTAAAAGCAGTTTCATTTTATCACTTGTCTTGAACAACTTGTATAAAAACAACATACTTACTTAAACAGGCTCTACAACATTAAATTGAAATTATTTCTTCTTTGAAATAATCATGATTATGTGGCTCTACAACATAATTATGATTATTTCAAAGTAATTATATCAATTTCAAGTTATGCACTTAAACCCATAACCACTCAACACAATTACAGTAGCATTAGTTTTGTACTAATTCATATTTTTTTTTTTTGAAAAACTCTAAAATCACTAAGATTTAGTAAGATTGTGAACAAGAACACGGTCTTAATGTTTTGGCTCATTTGAAGAATCGAGTACTTCTGGTAAATTCAGAAAAGTTATATAAAACTTTTTAGTCTAAAAACTTTATGTGAATTTTGCCGATGTTAAAATTTCTTTGATTCTCAAATTGTAAGCACGAATGATAAGATCTTAACGATTAAGATTTGATCTAAGGTAAGGTCTTCTAAAGAGTGACAAGGTTTTTATTACTATTTATATAACTTTAATCAGGTGAGACTTATGTTTTGTTTTTAACATATAGATGTATGAATGTAAAAAGATATTTTTAGCCTACAAAAAATGAAAAAAAAGACGTGAGGGGTCCATGGACCCCCGGTCAGAACAAAGTTCCGCAAGAAGTGTCGAAAAAAAGTCTTATTACACATTTTTCGGCCCCGCTCCCATCCGCTTAGAGCGTGTAACGAGCGATAAAAATAATACGATCTAAGTCTTTTAGTAGTTACCGTTTCGTTTCACGATAAAACTTCACACTTAGTGCGTAATAAATGAATTTCAATTTTATTTTCTCATGGCAGATGTCAATAAATTATTGTTGTTACTGGTAATATTGGTATGCCTAAAGAATATTATGGCGTTTATATGACAAAAAACCGGTTGCCTGTGCCTGAGAGTAGCCTGATATTATGCAACATGAATGTCGGTCGAGTAACATTTCGGAAGTGGCCAATGTGCTCACGAACGAGCACGCATGGCTTATTGGCAGCATATATTATACAGATAAAAAGTCAGGGTTACGTGATTACTAAATGTCTATGCATGTTTTATAAAGAATAAAAGGAGATTTAACTATTAGAAATATTGCCATTTTAGTAACGCACCTACAGAACTGCGCTACTAAAATCGCAAATTTTATTAATACATATATATTATAAATTTCTATTACGCCTACAGAGCCATAATACGAATTAATAGTGATGCAAATAAAATAATTGTATTGTGATAAATAGTATAGAAATTAAATATTGATTATTACCGCTTATTTTACATGTAGTAGTTTAGCGTTAGATTTCGTATTATTTCTAGTTGCTTACAGTTTACCTGAACCGCTATTATTCATATATTAAATTAACTTCTATTTTTGGAAGGGGTTTCGTTTGTCACTTTTAAATTATTTCCACTTATGGGGATATATATCGCCTATATATCGACTCGACATTTGAATGGCAGGAACAAGTTACACACGTCAGCCAGAAAGAGTTACACACGTCAGCCAGAAAGTCACTACATGTCTCCCATCTTTATATCGTTTGAAGAACTTCCTTCCCGCTAAAACTAAGGCTACATTATGCAGTCCTTAATTATTCAGTTAATCGTCTATGGTGATGTGTGTTATTTTTACCTGAATGCAGACCTTCTCAATAAACTAGATCGCCTTCTCAATAACTGCATTCTATTCGTTTTCAATCTTCGAAAGTATGACCACGTGTCTGCTATACGTTCCCAGCTGCAATAGCTCCTAATTCAAACAACAAACAATATGCTTCTTCTATGCCCCCCTCACACCTCCAACTCCATCAACCCCTCCTTCTACATCCAGTCAGTTCTTCTCTGGAATGTCCTCCCTGCCGAAGTCTGGATGTCGAAAAACCACCTTGCATTCAAGAGAGAAGTGTGCGATCTTCTTAGAAATGAATGGGCAGAATAGTCACAATGCTTGTACCCGACTGAGTATTTATATATTTCACTAAATTTATGTAGGCTTATGTCTATATGTTTACTGTATGTGTATTTATATATTGTGTATTTCTCTGGACTTCAATAATGTTAAATTTAATATTTTATTTTGCACCTGCCTCATCACATTTCTACATGACCTCAAGGTTGACTGAGAGAGAATTCCTCATGGCATCGAGTCCGCTTTTGTGCAACATGTGCATTAAGTTTTAAATAAATACATTATCATACAATTAATTTTTTCACAACATTCAAATTTTTTTAAGGCTAACTTGTATGTGTTTGGTGGTCGTAAGTCGACCGTAATCATTATTAAAATATTTAGAAAAACCTAATGAATCTGTTTGTTCTCTACGCTTATACGTGCTTCGTTCTTTATACATGATACAAAGTCATACAGATTTATAATGCAAATAAAACTCTTTTCGAAGGTAGTCGTATTAGCGTAGTCGTATTAGCGTAGTCGATTAACTGCGCCAGTGCGCTAAAACGACTATTCACTACTAGTTCACTGCCTACGACTCGTCACTAAACAAACCAAAATAGGTTAAAAACAGAGCGCAGCAATGAATTAAACTGTTTTGTCTCTACCTATTTATATAAAAAACTATGTGATTAATTTTTTAAACGTTTTCAAAGCTCGTTAATAAACAAAAAGACTTCAACGAAGTATGGAACACACACACACAGCATCTAAACACGGACGAAGGAAGTGCATTTACTGTTGGTTACACCAAAACAAACTAACTCAGCTTATGTAATACATAGACTGTTGAGTGTTAGTTACGTCGCACGTCGCTCGGTGCATTGCCACTGCGCGCTCTTATGTACGCTGTCAATAGAGTTTTACCTTTTTTTTTGTTTGCACATAGTTGACATTGGGTAAGTCGGTCAATTAAAGATAAAAAAGAATTTGCCAGTGCTGATATATCGTTCTAAATTACCAACTAAAGCAAAGTAGGAACAGGTGAGATACGAAAAGGAAGATTACGAAAATGTAATTTAATTTTTACAAAAATATATAAATTTGTTTACTTTAATATTAATTTACATACATTTTATACACAGATATATGAAGTGATCACTATTAATAATTATTTGTATCGTTTTCTTTCAATGTTATGTCTGTACAACGCAATTCACGTTAATATACTAGGTACTACTAATTACTATAACACTATTAACTACCATGGCTATTACTCCAAAAACGTATCTCAACCTTACATCTAGTACAGACATAAAAATAAACTTACCAGATACTTGCAACACTGTTATTCCAGCTAATATCAACCACTTTGCACCTGTTATCATCTTGTCATCCAAACGAATAATACCTAAGTTTGTAAACAAACAAACTGCAACTGCTAAACACAAACAAATATTTTATAGCTTTGTTTAAAAGTACAGGTACAAAATCACAGATAATTTATCACAATTAATATGTATTATAAATATTTTAAATCTATCACGCGGTTGTTTATCATTTTATCTATACGAGAGACCCTAAATGCGTGTGCCACGTGCGTATTCCGAGCAGGTACTGAACTGAACAGGTAGCGAAAGTGACTGTATGATGTTGACCCTCGCCTCGTATCTGACTTCCCCCCTTTTGTTTGAGACGACTGCAAATTCGGTCATTCCTTGCATAATTTATTCGCGCGAAGAATATTTTATGAAGTGAATCCCTAATTAGACAAAAATAAAATACATTTTATTTTACAAAAAAAGAATATCCGAATTGTTTACATAATTTATTTCAAAACTAATATACGAGTAAAGAGTGCATAGTTAGATTATTTTCGTTGATAGCCCAATTCAAACAAAAACATACAAAAATATGCTTTTGATTGCTTAACGAAATCGTTAAGCAATCAAAAGCATATTTTTGTATGTTTACATTTTAACTTGTGCATCAAACCAAATGGTTTAAATGTGTAAAGTGAATATATAGGTCATAAAAGTGAATCGTGTACAAGTCAAGTTGCGTAAATAATTGCCGTTGAATAATAACTGATTAAATGAGTTTGACATTGGATTATTTTATTCAAATCGCAGGTAAATATTAATAACAAAATTGGTTCAACGTTGCTATTGCTTGCCTTTTTCGAGCCGTTACATATTACTAGTAGTAGCAATTCCCGAGAAATTTTTCTTGTGAGAGAATTTCGTATCACCTTATTCATCAAAAACTCATTTAAGTAGTATTTATTGCTTTAATAGTCGTATATGTCCGAATTATTATTTTCTCCTTGCCCTCTTCTAAATTGCTAAGTTTTCAAAAGTCCATTCTAATCTATCATTCGTCAGTTCAGTGTTTTTTCCCTTCTTTTAAAGGAAGATTGGGCAAACGAGCAAACGGGTCACGTGATGCAAAGGAACTACCGCTGACTTTTACTAATATTTATACCTTTTTAACCATGTCTTCATTTATGCAGTCCATGCATCTTTTCTCTACTCTTGCATCCGTCAATAACAGTCCCTAAATTAAATTTATGGTCGCATTACTAATGTTTCCTACTGTAATTAATAAAGGTACGTCACACTCATAATTAAATATAAGTTTTCGACATAAAAACAGTTACATAAGCCGGAACAGATCGGAGTATTCTAGTGAAAACATAAGTTTCTTACATAATACTACGTAGGTAGAGTGAAGATTTTTTTTGCAGAATCCCAATTTATACGTCGTCGAATACGTGCTTAGTTTTCCTTATTCATTTGTGTGTTATGATTATTACATAATAAATCTCTACTTAACCTATTTTAGTCTACATCTGAAACTATGTAAACGAGAACAGGTTAAAGCGAATGAACTATGAATATACTCTCAGTTGTGTGGAAGTGTATTGACACTTTTGTTAAAACTAAACTTTATGCAAAACTCTGTCAGAAATTGTCTTTTTGAGCAAATTATATCATTTACAGAGCTTCGACAGTTTTATTTTATCTGCTTTGGCTTCCTTGCCCCCATTTTACATCAGGAAAATCAGTCTTCTTACTTCTATAAATCAACTAACTTGTTTCTCTATTATAGAAACTAAATAACTTTTGTGGCATAATCTCTTGTTTCTGAAAAACCCGAAGAACGACCTCGTGATTTAAGTATCTTCGATCTAAACTCTATCCTCTAACTTTAGAGACAGCAATTTATCATCATCATTACCATCTCAGACTAAAGAAGTCCACAGCCTTTTATTAACTCTGAAGTTAATAATGCGATTATATACAAACACAATGCATTAATTTACTGTTGTTTCTTCAAGCCAATTACTACCTTGACTATATTCATTAAAACAAAAACTTATACATTGAAAGATACCCAGTAGGTGTTAGTTACTCAGAGGTAGGTAATATAATAACGCAACCGACGCAGGCGTTGCCCAATTCGCGGATGGTCAGCGAATAAGGCCACGGATGCAACGTAAGTGCTGTCGACATGCCGAGCTACTAAGTTTTGCAACTGTCTTTTGAGGATACACGAGAAGGATGTGGGTAAAGCCCCTACTTAGTGTCCGGTTATCTTGTACAGTCACGATTTAAAGTTTATGAAGTGATAAAAAGCAATCCAGAAAGTCTTTTACATTTCAAGATCAATCAGTTTTGTACTGGATTATTTTCATTTTCTTGCTAAAGGAAGTTTTCCGTTTTTTTTAATTTAGTGATTCCTACATAAGTTTTAAATTTTTTACAATTCGATTTTCAATGCATATTATATTCAGTACATAATAGTAACAGTTAAATATAAAAACTCACTTTAGTTGAAAACAGTAGTGCCTCATGTTCAAACACTTTTGTCTAAGATTGTATTTAATAGTAAGTATCGTATCCATTTGCCTGATTTTGAAATATTTAAATATAGCTATCGTGTCTTTCATAAACGCAACCCTTTATATTTTTTCCTTCTCACTATGTCAATGTTTTTTTATAATGCGTTATGTATGTTTCATAATAAGGCAATAAAATCAAATCTGATGATAATGTTCGAAGTTCAACAGTTCGAGCTATAAATATGCAATGATAATATACATTTTGATTTAACTTATTTCGCTTCTAAGATACACTGTACTTTGTAAAGGAGTACTCTTTCTAAAGGAGTCCTATTCACTCAACAAACCCAGATCAATCAGTGTCCATTCTCTTGCTGAGCGATTAGGACGTGTGTGTAGCAAGCTAATAATTGTGCGGCTATCGGTATTTACTACCTGTCTATCGCCTCCGTTTACGCAAGCTGTCGATGGACACGCCATTGTACACATATATATAATATGAGTGAGAATGTATTAGATGAAAACAGAGGAGCTATAGAGAACATTAGTATGGGAGGAAGCGGTACGGAGGAAGATATCATGATTCAGAATGAGAACCAACAACACCATGATTAAAATGTACATATTTTAGAAGAACAGGAGGAGGATATTGACGAAAATTGGACAGTAATTGGCAATAATGAGAATAGGACAAGAATTGAAACGATTGAGATATTACAATTTGCGCTGGCCAAATGATTTAATTCCGAAAATATAACGAGAATTACTCGTGTTAAGTACATGAATTCTTATAGAGTTATTATCAGTGATAACGAGGAAAGCGCCACAAAGTTATTATAATGTCAAAGTTCAAAAGTCAAAAGGAACGGCGAGTTCAGAAAACTTGCGAGGAAAATGTTTCAGTATTATCAGGCAAATAGATTTAGAATTGTCTGATTTGGAGCTATTAGAGGGCATTAAAAGAGATAACAGATTTGAGATTTTATCAGCAAAACGGTTAAAGATTATGAATCTGGGTGGTCCCTAAGCTAAAGTGTACGTATTTGTTTAAGGGTCAGGATAAATTAATACAATGACTTACCTATAAAACAACGCCATCTAGTGGTCCGATGGCGGACGAAGAACATCAATACTATAGCTACAAACTACTTTGGATAAATCAAGAAATGCGACGCGGGGCAATAGATGTCACTGTTAACAACTCCGTACGCAATACAAATATACTAAAAAATAACTGTTACACTACCTCCCACTTTATACGACGTCAATGTCGGCGTTGTACCTTATGTGTTTCCAGTTACTCAATGTTCGCGGTTTTACGGACACACAACACAAGTATGTCCGTCCTTAAAAATTATTTAAATATATATAAAATGCGATAAGAATCACCAGACTGTTAAACTTCCTCCTACAAATGTGTCAACTGCAGAGGCAGCCATTTGTCTTTAGTCAAATCTTGTCCTGCATTTATTAAAGAAAAAAAAATGAGGGCGTTAATGTCTGAATGAATTTACATACCGTCGGTCACTAACAATGTACGTTCCACCTTTTTCACCTCGCTATAATGAACAGTTTGAAGAACATCTAACTCCCACCCAAACACTTTTAACAGCGGTACATTTACACAGAATATTTCAAACCATAAGTCATATGCTGCAGTATTATCATCAAATAACAAGCAGGAGCATAACAAGATGGGAAAAGACTTTCACAGAAATAACAAACGTAAACAACGCTACCTGAGGCAGCGAACAGTTCGCACCGCGGCTGCCGGCTGCGACGCCAACGTCGCAGCGAGGACGCAAGTAAACAACACAATAATATTGAGAATGAAACAAATACGCGCAACTGTATGGCCGAGCCATTAGAACACAGTAATATGCAGTCGAATCCAGAAATATTATTTTCTAATTGTTGTAAGCCCTCATTAAACAAAATTAAATTGATAATATTTTCTGAAAGGTATGACTGGTTCAAAAATATTAATTTAACTGTCAGCATTATTTTTTTACAATAGTTTTTATCGACTGTTATGACTAATATTACGGATTTGTTTTTCCTTAAGAAAATGTTTGGCATTACTTGTAACTCACAAAATTGCTAGTGTTACTAATAATACCGTTACAAATATCTTAGAGTGGAACGCGCAAAGTTTGAGACCAAAGTTGTTATTAATTGAAAACCTACTAATACAAAACAAGGTACATAATAATAATAATAATAATAATAATATTCTACCACATTCACACAACGCCATCTAGTCCCAAACTAAGCAGAGCTTGTACTATGGGTACTAGACAACTGATATAAATACATATATACTTTTTTTTTGTAAATACATACATATTATACATATAAACACCCAGACCAAATCAAACATTAAATGTTAATGCACACAAATGTTTGACTTCAGCGGGAATTGAACCCGCGACCTTTGGAATAGCAGTCCGTTACGCAAACCACTACGCCATTCGGTCGTCAAAGCAGTTGTTTGTGAAACTTGGCTTGATCAAAATAGTAGCAGTAAAATTAGGAATTACAATATTTTTATAATCGACCGGCAAGACAATTATGGGGTATCATAACACACAAATCTGTTAGAGCCCAAAGGGTACTTATTAACCATTGATACATTCAAGTATTACACCTTAAGATTTTAACTGCAGACGAATTGAAAATATAATAACGATTTTTTGTCCTCAATGGGTTCATACCCGCCAAACTGACTGGGAAGATTTATTCTACAGGTTTAATTACAAATCCTTAATTTTGTGACTTTAATGGACATCATTTTACTTGGTCATATAAAACAGACGTTAGGGGAGTTCAGATATTTAATTTTAGATATTTCTCAGTTTTCTTTTTTCATCAGTAATATGAATAGTCATTTTGTTTGTGTAAATGATAAGAGCCACACACGCATTAAGCTAGTCTCGGGAATCTTACAATACAGTTCGCCGAACGTATCGTTTGCTACTTCTGATATCTCATGTTTTTTTAACTGGGAAGTTACTAATGAATCTCTATGTGGTGATCATCTTGCAATCACTCTCTCCACTTCGATTACTTTTAGCCCTAATAGTTTGAGAAAACGTATCTTAAAATTAGCTGACAGGCAGAGCTATGAAAATTTCCTTGAGAGTACGTTTTCTAATTTTAATCTAATTAATCACTTTATCAGGTTTATTGGCAACAATAGTCCTGTCAGTGATAGTAGAGCGATCCCAGTACAACGTCGGGCACATATTTGTAGTACGGTAAAACCAAAGTCACAAGGTTATACTTAAGAGCAAGTTGCTGATGGACTATCCTGGCCTCTTGGTTTTGTCTTTGCAAGTACTCGCCGTTGGCAAGACGAGAACCACCGGAAATTATATATCTGAGGCTTTCGTCAAGACAATGACATGCCCGACAAATGTCTATTCTGTCGTCCTAATAATTATTTTTATTATTATTATATTGCCTTATTGTAAAATGTTTCTGCTTGAAAATTAATGAAATTTGAATGTATTCGTTATTTTTTAAATTAAATCTAAATATAGGTAAATGGATGTCTAATAGTATTGTGATGTTGGCGAATTGACATCATGAATACTTTTCTAAACGCTATGTTCATTTATACCCTGCTAAAAAGTAATTACAAATAACTACTAAATCAGACTGTTAATCACCCCAAAGCATTTTAAATCTATCTCAGTAAAGTAAATAAACACATCATATTATATTATTTTTTTAACGAGGCCTTAAATGTTCACGTAATTAGTTTCTGTAGCGGAGTGCCTAAGACAATAAATATGTATATATTACATGTACTTTAGGATGTAACCCAGATTTGAATCCATTTAAATTGTGGTATTCAGATAAACAGAAAGAAAAAATCATTTAACTATAATATGTATGTATTTAAAAATATATAAGTATGTGTATCAGCAGTCTGGTTACCATACACAGGCTCTGCCTAGTTTAGGATCAGAAGGGCCGTGTGTGGGGATATATTTAATATTACGAATTTCACAGACAACAAATAATATATTCCGACACTCAAAACGTGTGTTGTTTAGAATTGTAATTTATTAACAGGCTATTCATATAACTTGCTGATATCACAAAAGTAGCGAGTAGTAGCAAAAATCCAAAAAAAAAATTAGATTTTCTTTACCCAAACGTATGTAATTATAATAAAAGCTGGTGTGATAAGTTGTATGTATGTTTAGCGAAATTACCACAAAACATAAATAAATAACAAAATGTTTCTGTACTTTACCCCGTCAATCGCGAATACTCAGTTTTATTTTTTTAAAGAAATATAGAATTTCTATTTAACTTATTAAAAGCAATCGATGTTTTGTATTTACTTTACAGTTCACGCAGTCTTTATTTATTTGCGGCAGTAACACATTACTCAGGAATCCAGGGGCGGGTCGGCCCACTGCTTGCGTAGGGGGCGTCAGGCACTAGTGCTGCCGCCGATGAGGGAAGTTTAGCCACCCTCTCGCATTTCGTAGGCAACATAGGCTCAGCAACGACCCAACTGGTGGCTCCAGGAGGGTACGCTGAGATCCTGTTGGCCGGAGGGCTTGCCTTAATTGGCCGGCCCATGACAAGGACAGTCTATAACACACGATAGCAAAGTCCTTAAAACCTGTGGATACCGGCCGTCCTCCATAGTATATAGGATTACCCGGGTGCAGGGGGGTGCGGGTGCTTCATTTCCCCCATACTCGTAAGATTTAGTATGGAAAAAATATAATAGACCAACAAAATAAAACAACGAACGGATCTGACAATAATATTGGCATAATGGATAACGGACATCGAATTTCAAGGGAGGAGAAGCGCTTGCCCAAGACGAGAGAGAGTGAAAAAAGGCGGCTGTGGTCGCCAGTACCGATTGACTGAGATGCTCACGGGGAACGGTTGCTTCGGTGAGTATCTGAATCGAATCGACGGGAGGTCGCGGCACAATGCCACCATTGTGCCGTGACCTGCCTGGAAGACTACCCTGCATGGGAGTCCGAGCGACGCGTTCTAGTCGGACAGATTGGACGAAACTTGTCAGAGCCAGCATTGATCGCGGAAATGCTGCCTAGTGGCGAGGGATAGGCAGCTCTTTCTGTGAGGACATTATGCTCCAGAAAGAGACCGCAGAGTGGGATCGGGAGAGGGCTTATTCCGCTCGAAGGAGGCAGCGAAGGGGACGCGGCAGAGGTAGCTCCCCAATCACTGGTTTAGGTGATGTGTCTGCTGCAAACGCCCAACCAACTGTCAATCGTGGTGTACGGCAGGGAGGCCTCTAGAAGCCGATGATACGTTCCTGGAGCTCCTCCCTACCCCTGGGGTTTAGTAGATAGACCGGTTCTCCGAAAGTCCCACACACATCCTCGGTTTCGAATTCATTAGCCGCGTTAAAAATTCTATTGCGATGAATTACTTGCCTCACCTTATAAAGGATAATCATGAGATAGTAATAATAACCTCAGACATCTCAAACACGGCCGTCTGATCCCGAACTAGACAGAGCCTGTAATAGTACAGGCTTTGTCTAGTTACCATAGGGTAATGCAGACTGCTGATAAACATACCAACACAAACCAACAGGCCCATCTCTGATAGTATTATTAATCTAGACTAAATTGTATGACTGCATTGCTTGAGGATCTAAAGAGAGCTATGTCGAAAGTATTACACTATTGTAATGGTAACAAATTACTCAAAATATCTAAATACTCGTACATACATTTCGCTACTGCAAACGTAAAACAGGTGAAAACCATTAAATGGATAAAGGAGGTGATTTGGGCAATGTGGTCGCACAGCGACAAAGCCCTTTAAAAAAAAGGAGACGATTTAAAACGAGTGGGTAGCAGGTAATTCTTAGGTATTACTTTTGAGGATTATTTTTATTGTGCTAATACTCGTATACTATAAAACTGACATAGACCAGTATTGTTCATTGTGCATCGGGCTTAGCACCGACTTCGAACAGACTAGAAGGGACTACTGCTATTATAATATTATCTGTTATAATGAGGGTACTTCTTATATTTTTTTACTTAGATTTGTAATTACTTTGCTGTGCTCTTTGTCAGTATTGTTTCAGTCGTTTCTTAAAAGGACTTCTTCTTACTTTTTTAAAAGGATTTATTTAGGGCCTAATATGAAAGCAATAATTATGCGTTGATAACGATCATTTGTTCTGTATCTGGTTGTAATTTATCTATAATGTGTGTATTTAGAAATATATAGTATATAAGCTGGTTACCATAGTACATACAGGCTCTGCATAGTTTGGGATCAGACTGCCGTGTGAGGTTCAACAGACTCATCTCTGCATTTTATGCAGCCTAATGTACAGTTTAATTTGCTTGGTTTTAATCTTATTGATGTAATATCTCAAGATAAAATATTGCTATATTACATTCTCAAAATATTGTCAGACTTTCTGGTGATAAAAAAATAACACTTGAGAATTTTTAGAAAAATCTCCAGGTATCTGTGGGTATTTACTTTTGTTTTTGTTTGCTTTGGTTTTTGAACCTATTGAAATAGATGTTTCTTTTTACAAAAAGCACATGAAAATTAAAATCAATTTCAATTCCTTATATCATTTAATCCGAGTATAAGGAAAGCTTGTTTAATGGTTCTTTTTACTCGTTCGACTATTAGGTCCACGGGCATAAGGAGGCTCTGCATTCGTATTGAAAAAGTACTGTCCTCTGGCTCTGAAATAGTCACAGAAAAATTATAATGATTAAACTTTTATTAATACTGGCACAAGGAAAATTATTCTCTTTTACTTGGAGATAACAGTACTCAGCCCCTATGAATTTCACTGTAAATATCTGAGAGACAAACTAAGTATTAACACAAAAACTTCTTAGCTAAGTACGAAAAAATACATACATATTTAATCATGTGAGAGTAAGTAGTAAGCATTATATATAAAACCGTATCTAATACTAACAATATTATCTTCGCATACTTTTCTTGAGATTCTTCATCAAAATAGCATTAGAACAAATCTGATTATGTTTAAAGCTAACGTAACAAAACACAGTCTTGATTAAAACACGCAATATTTTGTTAGACTTAGTTTACACTAATAGTAGGCCAAAACCTCCACTCTAAGGAGAGGCCTATGTCCAGCAGTGGACTGTTAAAGGCTGTTGATGATGATGATGATGATGAATAGGGAAACTGTATGAAAGTTTATAAAGTGAAGGTAAATAAAAACCGGAGTAAAACCTTTTAATGTTATGTAACAATGAATTTACTTGTTTAGAACTAAAAAGTTTTCATCATAATACAGTACAGGAGAAGAAGAAAATGGGGGAAGTATGATAACAACTTACATTATACTAATCTGCGGAATTAAATGTACAAGTCTAAATTATAGTTAATGTAAATAATCCAATTATAGTCGTTTTAAATGCACTCGCAGCCTATGTAAGAGTTATTTTAGCTAAATATGTTTTTGTGTTCTACTTAAAGATTTAACATTTACATTACATTAGTTTACATTAGTTTTACATTAGTTTTGCATTATACGCATGAATTCACAAAAAGTAGAATAATTGAAGTCGTCCCTTCGTCTCTGTGCTACGGCGAATATGTTGTGGGTTGAAACATGATAAATATTTGTGTGATCCATTAATAGGTGTTCTGTGTTTGGGTGTTCATTGTGTCCAAGATTTAAATGTTTGTGCTGGCCCTCGCGACACAAATATTCTACAGGAGTTGTGTTCATTAAAACAAAAAGAGATAAGTATGAGAGAAGAATAGTGTTGCCAGTGTCTATTCTTCTTCTCAGTTTGTCGGTTGTGATTTAATCGTAATATAACATAACAAGTGAAGAAACGCTGACAAGGTCACAATGTTAGTAATGTTTTATTATTCTAAACACTTTCAATAAACGATGACACCGCCTCGAACACGAAGGAAGGAAGTCCGGATAAAAGGGAAACTGTCTCTCAGTGAAAGTGTGGCAGTGTTTCGGTGCTTGCACTTTACCGCAAAACAGGTAAACGACGAATCATTAGCAGCTCAATAAACGTTTTATTTCTGTAGAATATTGAAATCTTTAGACGTACTCTTATTTACTCTATAGCGTGAACCGGGATGGGTGAACGTAACTGTGTAATTTCAGTTAAGTGATTTGAGAAACAAAATGACACTTAAGTTAGAATCCTTAAAATGTTTGTAAAACATGATACAAGCATGATGATTATTCATGTGGAATGATCAAAAAATATATTTTTATCCCTAACTCTACTGAAAAAATGACTTTGGTTCTACTTGTAAGATTACTCGATAAAAACGACCTGGTAACTAGCATTAACTTTTTTTTTGTGTAAAGTTTAGTGGCACAGTTATATTGAAAAACACAACAGTAGTTGACTAGCAAGTAATCACCAGTGCAGTTTTCAATTGTATAAACAAATCATCCAAATCAAAGTAAACCCTCATGACGAGATTAAATATGTGACATCATTTAACTATGGTTTTAAATTGGAGATAGGTTGCACTGTTTATATTAACGTTTAACTTACCCTTTATTTACCTTTTTTCTCTGATGTGTGATTATTACGGACTCGAACCGAACAAAAACCGCACGCCGTCTCCAGGTACCAGTAGCCGGGGAACCAGGTATACCCTAGAAAGGAAAGCCCTGGTACCTAGACGTTCCTCGGGCCATCTACGGCTTATAGATGATGCCCTCCTGTGTGGGAACCCGGATGTTCCCTTCTTGTACGCTCCCACCCCGGCCTGCTTTTGCTAAAGTGACAGATGGCCTCACCTGTCACCCTCAGGCCTGCGCTAATTAAGGACGGAGGCCGTTCTGCGACCGCCGGCGCCTGAGTCGTCTGCGGTACCTGGCCCGTCCTCGGGCCGGGCGGGCCGGGAGAGTTCTGAACCTCTCCCGGTCCCGCTCCGCCATATCTTTCACTGGTTTTACTGGATTGTATCTCATACTTTGAAGTCAATATTTAGTCTAATGGTTTTTGAATTGGTGGTGGTGTACGTTTTTTGACTTGTTGTACACACAAGTCGTACAATTATCAAAAAACTTACTCTCTTGAAACATACTCTCCGAAGAGTTCCTCTTCGTCTGGATGGTGCAACTCACACCATCCAATTATGTATGCAATCCATGAGTGGCATTTCGTTCCATAGAAGCCTTCCTTACTCGTGATTGACTCGGCGTAGTATATCGGCGCTCGAGCGTGGCTGCAACTGGATAAAGCTGGGAAAATTTAATTCTATATATGCAGAACTGTATCACATAATTTTGAGTATAATTTATTTTTAGAGTTAAATAGTCAAGCTATTTAATCAGCATTTGAAAATTCCCCTCTCTATAATTTTAAATTGAAAAAAAAAAAAAATTTAGTGTTAGGACAGAATAGAATTAGTAGAATAGAACTATTGATTATATAGGTGATTAAATACACCGTAAAATACATAGTTAATTAACACAACAGTACTATGTGTTGTCTTTTAACAGCCAGCGGAAGTGTTTTAGTGTAGAGTCAGTCTTCATGGGTTCATTTACAATCTTACTCAACTTTAAAATACCTAAAATATTGCAATAAAAACATTTAAATAAATACAAGAGCGAGATCGAACGTGAAACGTGCTGAATGTGAAGAAATATATTTAGCCCTTTCCCCTTTTAACTACATAAAAATTACTACACGCATTAAATGGTAGACCCTTTAAAAAGACTTACTTTTCTGTCTAGATGATCTACAACCCGGTTGTATGCTGCCACCATTAGCGTAGAAGTCGACATGTCCACTGTCTTCTAATTTTCCTCTCCCTAAAGCGTTTGTGTGGAGAACGTCAACAAAAATTGCATCGGTCTTGTCCAATTTCTCATCCAAGTGTTTTGTCACAAATAGCGGCAAGGCTGGGTCTAAACCTACATTAAAACTTGTAATTACTAAAGGTAAAAAAAGTCGTAGTGTTTTATTCGAGGGTAGTTGGATTGAACGATCTTTGTTACTCATTTTTTTATATGTAAGTATAATATATTAACTAGTTGTGCATGCGTTTTTTAGGTATGTACCAAAAACACCAAGCCAGAATAATTTAGAAATACACTTTTTTATGGTTATTGCTCAGTTTTGAAATTTCAAGGAGTCCCTAAGACAGCACTAGCGAAACCGCGGGCTGTCTTAGTGACTCTTTGAAAACCTATAAGGAACATAAGCGTAGGTTTAAATCGTGTAAAAAACTTAAAGCTATTTTATTACTAATCCGAAAGACCGAAAACTCTATTTGCATTGATTACTCTTCATCACATAGCGAAAATCTCTCTCTCTCTCTTTTCCAAGCAATTCATCCCACATATTGGTAGGGTCTCTTTCATGATAGTCAAAATGATAAAGAGGTTTTGGTCAATGACATTGCTTTCAATTTATTCTTTACGTGTCGACATCATTTTCTCGATTCGTCTTCAACACTTCATAAAACAACCAATTTTTTTAAACAGGCTTGTTTCTATTTATCTTAGTAAGTTTTTGTTTTATTATGCCTCAAATGATTTCTAATCTTTTAATACGCAATGATAAGGTAACTTTATCTCACATATATATGCTTATTTCGTGTCACTGCTTCAGGTAGTTACTACTTATGCCAAAAATCCCTTATGCTATATCGATATGAAACGATTAAATGGTTATGGGTGATTTATTTATCTGTGTAAAATCAAAGCTTTATCCATAGTTCTTAAAAGATTTGGTTATTTATTTATTGGTTGATACTCAAAAAATAATTCATCATTTCATCGCTTGAAATCCAAGAGGCTTTTTTTATTTTTATTAATAACCTCTTTTGAAGAAGAAGTCTCATAACCTCAGTCATTCATAAACCTCCTAATTTGACATAAGAAATGACAGTTCTGGCATGGTACAATTATAATACAGTACTCCAACTTCATACAAACGGACGAAACGCGAGCTATACCTACGCGCCTCGATCTCGGGGTGCGCTCGGGGCGCAGACAGTCACGACTGTTCCGCCGTGTATGAATTCGTCAATAACGCATCCAGACATAAGTTTTTTTAAATTACCTGGAAACTCTGAATGGTAAGATTAAAAAATAATTTTACTTACTAGTAGGTAGGTACATAATGTGTCTTTTTAATGGATAAGTATTTCCTTTTATCTCACGAAAAAAAAGGTGTTTGGATTAATAAATAAAGCGAATAGAGTAACGGAAAGTTGTAGTTATATGCGGTTCTGAATGAATCATGATACGGTAGGTAACTACCTACTTACGCTTGTGTTAAAACTTTGGTGCATGTGTGTTTTGTTATTTTGCATAATTCAAAGTAAAGACGTGGTATTTTTATTATTAATATTATTTGTTTATTATCTGTGTGTATGAATAATACTAGAATTTTTTTTTACCGTCATTAGATAGTTAGACTCATATATAATATTTAGATGTCAAACATCTGTGTTGGGTTGTGATTTTAAAACATTCGTAGTCAGCTGTTCAGCTTTTTAATAATTAATTAATTGATGACCAAAGAATTTTTGTTTCGAGTTGTTGCGAGGTTTAGGTAGGTACCTAATTTATAGAGACGTTAATAAGCTGAGATAAAAAGTTACTTACTCGTCAGCTGTTTCTTGCATTCTAGTTGAGTAGGTAGGTGTTGGAGTTTCTAAGGATTGGAGTTTTGTAACGCGTAAGGAGAAAGCACATTTTTTTATTCTATAGAAGGATTTTTAAGCTATTGCATAGCTTTTATCGCGGGCTCTGAGCGCGGCGCGGTGACCGAATCAAGTAATTCTCAAAACCTTACGAAAAATACCTGACACAACGCAGATTTTTTTCTTAAAAAAAAAAAAATGTTATGCAATAGCTTTACCGCGGCAGTCTCCGAGAGTGCCACATGTATTTTTTTTCAGACGTCTTCAATGGTTGCAGCTGATCCGGCGAGATGATTTGGAAAACAAACCTAACTTTAGTTCCTACCAAGTTTGTGAAAAACATTTTAATTTGGAGGATGTATTACATTCATCAAAAAGAAAACTTTAAAAAAAGAATGCCCTACCATTGTTGATGCTGCCAAGCTTAGTTAGTACTGATTAAGGAGTCTCTCTAAAAGAAGATAAACAAACCCAAACTGCTCCGTTGGTAGGAATTGAAAATAGTACACAGACTGAAAATGCAACAAATGAAATCTTTGCTCAAACCTCAACGAGTCTCTCTAGCAACACTCCAAGAAAAAGAAAATTGAAACTTGAACTCCTCCAATGCAGAAAGAAAATAAAATTACTCGAAACTGAAAATGAAACAACAATTTTTCAAACTAAAACATGTTTTTTAAATTAAATCTACCAATCAAAAAATAACACGCATTTTTATCGAACACTTCCTATTCAATATACAAAGTATTTCATTTATTTATATAAAAAGATATTTACAATCACAAATTTAAATAGAAACAGAAAGTAGGCAAATATAATTAAAATGCTGAAGACGGGCAGCCCTAACGCATGTTTACGTACCGCGCGGCTGTAGGCATTTATTTCTATCATGCGGCCGAGTTACACTACTGTATTATAATTGTACCGTGGTTCTGGCATCATGAGATTCTGGTTTTTATAAACCTATATATACATATTATAATATGTATGTAAACGATTAATAATTATTAATGGTTTACATACATACAATAATATTAAATATACAAATTTGTAATATTTTATATATTATACATACATAAATTATAATTTGAATTGTGTAGCTCCCTACGCAATGGATAACGACATGCTTAACTTAATCGGTGGGAAAACTACACAATAGTGTTTGACAAATGTGCATAAATTTATCGTTCTATCAAGCGTTCGTTTTATTTTGTATCTTGCATTTATATCGAGATATGAACTATAAATTTTTATTAATTGAAGTTAATGTTGTATCATAGATAAGATTTATTAGTTTAAAACTGTTTATAATTATGTGCCGAAGTAAAATCTCACGACATTTGATACAACATTGCTATAATAATTACACTAGGAACATACTTTAAGTTATTCATTTCAAATATCTACAATAAATTGTAATGTTGCTTAAACTTTGTTTTTTTTTAAATTCAAATGTCGAAAATTATACTCTTAAGTTTTACACCTTATATAGTTAGTTATATCATAGCAAGCGCAAACACAAATATATTGTACATATATTTCGAATCTTCATGATAAATGACTGACATTTTTTTTTAACACACATGTAACTCTTTTAGTAAAAAAGAAAATAGTCTTTAGTTAAATAAATTGTAGGATTAACCGCAGCTCTGTATTTCTGTATTTAAAAAATGCCTTAATTAATAAGTATAGATATGGACTTTAGATTTCTATACATTTGACTACAAGTCCTACTACTACCTACTGAAAAAGTATGGATAGCATAATCATGTGTTCAACAAATTCAATTATTTAATAAAGTTACAAGGAAAATAAAAGTTCCAATGCGTATTTTGGTATGTGCTTTACTTTAAAGCCAATACAATTTCTGTGTAGGACACACGTTCAAGTTTTCACGACTTACTGATAATTGGAAGAGACAGAATTGTCACAGAGTGAGAGAGAGACAGAACTCCTCTCATTAGAATAAGTTCTCAAGTACCTTGCACCTTGTAAAGTAAAATCTAGTAGGTGTGCTAATCACAGTGCTCCTCGATTAATATAATATTAGAGATTTAATATAATATTATAGAATATAATATTATTTTAAATCTAGTTTGCTATTGAAATGAAATGAAATGATTAGCTGAAATGATCAGCTATTTAGTTTAGTTTTATACTATAGTTTGTATAAGGTTTTGTATCTAGCTCTTATTTTGAGATTCTTCACTCAATATAACTAGGTGATAATAACCTTCTCTTTTCGCAATCGTTTAATATTTATTTGTCCTCACAAAACATGTTTTTATAAGAAATTTTAGTGTATGGTATTAGTTAAGAATAGCAAACTAAACAAAATGGGACCGGTTATGAATAGAAAATAAAATAAAAAAATGTCCTTTGATGAATGTGGGAAAAAACCTTAAGAAATTGACGTTGTGGCATGAGATTTAGTGGGATGAAGACAGAACAACTATTTACCTATAGTTTTATGCTTACCCGATATCCTATATAACTTTCCTGACCTCACGTTTTGACCTACGAACCCTGCTGCCTGTCCGCCAAGGCTAAAACCGATGACATGGAATAGTTTAAGAGGAAAATGGTACTTGGTGACGAGCTCATCAATCAACTGAGCTGTACATTTTCCTACTAGTTTGGTATTGTGAGAAGCTTCAATGTAACAAGGCTCCCTCGCTAGTGGGTTGTAGTCGACTGATATTATGTTGTAGTTACAGCACTCCATGTACGCTGCAAAATTTTCATAAATATGTTATTTAATTTTTCATTTGAGATTAGTGCAGTTAGGGTGGTCAAGTCTGTCTGAATACTTGGAAAACCGCAGCAATTCAATGCTTGTCCAAAACTTTAAAAAATAACATTTAAACTGACAGGTGATGGGACAACCCATTCCCCACAAGAATATCGAGACACTCCTATTACATTACATTTATATTTCACTTCTAAATCTCCATAATTTATATTTTCATTCTCATGTTATTTCTGATTTGTCGAAAACACTGATTGTGTTTTAAAACTACTATCTTTTTAGATTACTTAGAATCACGCAAGAAGACGTCTGAAGGCGTCAGAGTTTCTGTTCGAATTGAAACCGTCACAGTCATTTAAACGGGGAAAGTAACTTATGAAATGTGAAGACAAGTTTATGATCTAACAACAAAACATTTTGAGAAGCTATTTAATATAATATTCATATCAGAGGAAAAAACTCGATATAACATGTTGGTGCCATCGATCGGGGTAGAATAAAATTACAAAATTTCGCTTCATTTTCTTTGTAAAAGAAAACCAGGTCATAAGCCGTTGGTCGGGTATGGAGCAAAAATAAATTAGTTTTTTAAGTGATCTGCCATTAAAATGGTTTAGTTACCTGGTCTAATTTCAGTGTTCGGTGAGAAGTCCTTGTACCCTGTGTAACCATGTATAAGAATCTTGATAGGTGCGTTAACGACCCAAGGTGCTGTTTCAATGGATTTCGAATCATTTACTAAAATTTGAAATGGCTGGCGATCATTAGCTCTGAAATGTTTTCACAGTATTATTCTTAGTTTTAATGACATCACCAGTTGGAAACATGATTGATTTTACTTAGCCTACTGTTACTTTGTCGTCTTACAATTCGTGTAATTCAAAGATAAGATACTACTCTGTCAAGAAAGTTCCGGGAAAAGATCAATAATACACAAAATGTTTGTTATTCATCCAAATTTATTTTATCACTTTCAAAGTATGCTCCTTCAGAAACGATACACTTACGCCAACGAATAATAAAATCATCAAAACATTTTTTAAACGCTGTTTCCGAATTGAGTTCAGTTCTCGCCGCGAATTCTCCTTTACGTCTTCTACCGATTGAAGACGGGTGCCACGAAGTGGTAATTTGAGTTTAGGAAAAAGAAAGAAGTCGGCTGGAGCCATATCTGGTGAATATAGTGGTTGCTCGATGGTATTTGTTGAGTGTTTGGTCGAGAATTCGTTCACAATGATGGCCTTGTGCGAAGGCGCATTATCGTGGTGCAAAATCCGAGAATTTTCTTTCCACTAATCTGGCCTTTTGCGTTGAATTTGCTCTCTTACGCTCAAATAATATTCTATATTTACCGTTTGATCTTCCGGGAAGAATTCCGAATGCACAACAACGCGATAGTCAAAGTAAACAGTCAACATGACTTTGACTTTTGATCGACTTTGGCGTGATTTTTTCGGTTTCGGTTCAGTTGGAAGGCCACTCCAAAGCTTGTTGACTAGTTTGCATGTCAAACTCGTAAACCCACGTCTCGTCACCATCACGGTAACAATGCGTTTCATGAATGTTGGGTCGGAATTGACTCCTTCTAGCATGTCCTCAGCGACTCTTATGCGATTGAGTTTTTGGAGAAAATTCAGCTCTATTGGGACTAGCCGAGCGGTAACATGTTTCATATCCAAATGATTAGTTAAAATAGTACGGATCAACTCGTGAGATACAGAAAGTTCGGCGGCTATCTCTCTCAAAGTTGAATGAGGATTTTCAGTTACTATTTCCTTCACTTTTGTGATATTAACTTCAGTTGCAGACATTGAAGGCCTACCACAGCGAGGCAAATCTTCCATCACATCTCGACCGCTTTTGAACGCTTTTTACCACTCATAAGCAAATGTTTTTGATAAAGTCGATTCACCGTAAGCTTTCTGTAACATTTTTAGTGACTCCGAACACGAAATTATATTGGCGATGCCAAATTTAAGACACTTTTTGTTCGCAATTATGAAGTTCGCAATACACACTAGATATGATATAACTAACAACAGCACCGTATTTAATATAAATAACAGAAAACAGTTGTGCCAATCTAACAACAACAAAAACAAAAAATTGAAATTGGAACCATAAACAAATCATCAATTCCCGATACTTTTTTGACTGAATATACTTTCTATGTAATGTTATTATGACCGACACAATTAAGTGAGTTGAAAAGTTAATCGCACACGCAACATAAATATAACTGGAAAACCTCAAACAAGTAGATTTTCAGTTAAGGAGTTAATTTCTAGCCGATTATTTATATCTTTCACCGGTTGATGATAGTCTTATAAAAAATTACACTCCGAGTATGTATTTTCCTATATGCACCTACGATACACCCTAGTAAAACCATTTCTTAGTGTGTGCAATCAGCAACGAAGTCATTAAACACATTTAAATAAAGAAACTGGCATAAGGACACAATATAAAACCCAAATGAAGACACTAAGGATAAGACAAATAATCTTTTGGATTGGTCTATTCAACAACTTTCTTTACTGGGCGTAATCGACGAAATTAGAATAATTTGTTAAGTTCACAAGGAGGACTACGTTTTTTATATAAACTATTTCAACTTACTTAGTATATAACCAAAACGTAATATTTATATTTGGACATTCCAATGGTGGTTCAATGCAACTATTTGTAATTAGAGCAGGTCTTAGAGCTGAAAAAAATAGATTATGTTTTAATATAGGTAATTTAGATATCGATTTTGTTTTGTAGTTAGAATCAAGTGATTTATTTTAGTGCAAATTGAATCCACAATCACTTATTGCATGGATTCATACGAATAATAATTCAGTTTTTAAATTCAACTGTGTATTACCATTTGTGAAATAAATTAGGTTGCTACACTTCTTTCAACGCGTATTTTGTTTTCAAAGAATTATTACAGTTCTTTACGATTAATACAAATTCACTGAAATATTTACTTAACGTAATTACTATCATAAAGTTCATTCCAATATTTTATTTTAACATGTTTCTCATAATTCGATATTCGAATAATATTGCAATAACATTCAAAGTTCTTCGTATAGTTTTTCAGGAATCTAAGCAAAATGAAAAGAAAAACACTTTTTTTGTTATGCACTTTTAATACTGACTAAAAAAATAGGAACGAATAATATTTGGCACATAAATATATGTCATTTAAATGAGAGTCATTTTACGGACTGTAATACAGCAAAATATTTACACCGATATATATTGAAAACGGGGTTGAAATAATATTTAATTTTTCAGGAGGGTTACTACTCGTGAAGATCGTCATTTCAAATATAATAACTCTGCTTTTAAAACTTAGTCTAAACTATAATAGTAGTAGTTAGTAAGTTTTATTGTACCATGTATTCAACGTGTAAAATAATTAGTACGCAATGTACTTAACACAATCAATATGAAACAAGGTCATTTCTATTGTCTCCGGAAGTTACGAAACGCACCGAATAAATTTTGGATGTTAAATGGGGTGATTATCTTTTAATCATAGGCAAATAGGCAATTACTTTAAAAATAAAACATGCATATTTTATTTACGTATATCACAGAAACAAAACAAATGAGAAAAGTGCTGATAAGTATTTGCAGTGAGTAGGAGACGCATCCTCGTCAATTTGTTCCGGTTAATTGCAGATTATCATTTGGATATTTGTATAAGAAACTTTATTTTCTACATTAATGTGATGCTAAGTCAAAAGGTTTCAATCTAAATTAGGATGACAGAGCTAAGCTAGGATCTTAAAACGTTTGTGAATTTCATTAAAATAAATTGTTGATATTCTGTAAAAACTGTTTTTTTTTTGTTTTAATTTGCAAATCTGATAGTCACAGCACGCATTTCACAACCGTGTAACATAAACTGTAGAAACTTACAATAGTAACTACATGTGAGTTTGAACTGTAAAGGTTAAGATCATTTCTTGTAAAATTAATATCTTATTGCAAAGATTTTAGATCAAGTTTATTAGTATAATTAAATATTAACACTGTATGACATATGAAGACGTTTTTTATGATTTTTTGATGAGCAATGAAGAGTTACATTACGTATCTCCACTACTTATCCACTCTACTACTACTCCATGCATCGGGAACAACAAAATACTTTTAAATGATATTTAACTTGTTTCCCATTTAAAACTTGATCATTACAACATACCTTATTTAAAGTCTAGATACTTCATTATTAAATTATGAATTTGACTTAAAAAAAACAGATATTTGTCTATATTATTTAAATACTCACGTAAACAAAAAACCAACAATATGAGAAACATTGTGACGAAATCATAAACGATGTAAAACTATTGTGACTTGCTACATAACTCATTTATATAAACCTTGCAGTGCAAAGCCTTACTGAGGTGGTAAACTTTATTCAAAACTCACAAATCAGCTGATATAGACAGAGAAAACTATTGAGTCCTCCTGTGTTTTTTTTGTGTGCCTAAACCTCATTCTCACAAAAAAAAACTAATATAATTTTGGTTTCCATGCGTTTGCGTTACGTTTACTACAGAAAATATACTAAGAAAAATTATAAAGAAAAAAAGATATTGTTTAGGTTATAGGGCCACATATTCATAATGGTAGACCGGGTAGCTGAGCGTTGTACTGAGCGATTGTCATGTTTATGAGACCTTAGGCCAGTGACACTGTGAGAGCGATACGCATGTAGATTTATCTTATTATTTGCGTTTGCGATATAAAAAGACGTAACTTAAAATATTTTTAAAATGTAATAAGAAAACTGTGAAATTTGAAAATATGTATTTCAATAATAGTAATCTTAATATCTCTTTCACACTCATCTCTCTCATCAATAAATCTTGAATTTTATGAATAAAACAAAGACTGGTCAGTTACATCATTTATAACTCAAGTAGGGCTGTAACGATTTTTGTGATAAATAAGTTTTTGGATTTGACTGCGCCCCGAACAGCAGTGTAACAATTAAAATATTTAAAAAATTCAGGAATAAATTTTTTTACAGATAATTTTGTTTCTTATACATAACAACCAAACATAAACACCTTATGTAGTGTCGTTGTTTCTGTTTAGACACGGTTACATACCCTGCTTTATCGAATTCGTGGTCTAAGCATAATTTCATTTTTCTGACTAACATGTATACATGTACATACAACATGCGTTGGGAATATTAATGATTTACATTAGGTATATAAATTGTAATGAAAGGAAGATTCGACGTTGGAAATTAAACAGTTAAGTTGATTAAACTAGTGGTTATTGACCAGCGAATGTGAATAAACTAAGTCTGTACTGTACATAAATATTTCTAAATACATATTATACATACATAAATTACACCATGACACAGAACAACTGATCGTGCTCATCACACAATTATTCGGAATCGAACCCACGATATTCGTCTTAGTATTATATTTAAATTTAATAATTTAAATATAATATAGAATAATATATAATATAGAATAATAATATATAAACATTGAGTTATGAGTATGATCATTTGTTCTGAGTCTGGGTGTAATTTATCTATAATAGTTTATTCAGAAATATTTTAGTTTGTTTATCAGCAGTCTGGTCACCAAATCACAGGCTTTGCCTAGTTTATGATCAGACAGCCGTGTGTGAGACGTGTGAACTTATTAATATTGAATTCCTATACGGACGTGTGAACTTATTAATATGAAGTTATCAATGTAATATGTATGTATAATCGTACAAAAAAGTCAAAGTTAATCAGTAGTCTCGATTTTTTAGTGTAAGGTACCCGTCAGAGAGGCGCAGTAAAAATATTTGTCCTCTTTCATGGACGGCGTTTTAATAAAACATGGGCTATAAAATATATCAGTGGATATTACACCTAATTATGTTTAGTACCCATTTGGTCTTGGTTGAGCGGTAACAAAGCGTCTGCAATGTGGCTTTGCTGTCACATCAAAATCCCACCAGGTGGTCCAACAGTGTTCTGCTTGCAAATTGCAATACAAGTTCCATAGACAACGTCTCGTATTACACGACACCATAACGTTTAGTGAAATTATTCTAAATAAACTAGACTAATAATGTTAGGTACGCACCTATTGTTTCCGTTTTATGTTAGTATATAAAAGTCTCATCTACCTATTTGACGTATCGCCGATAAAAGTAAAATTATTTATTTTTACATAGATTTTAAGATTACGATAGAATTTACTATAGACGCCGTCAGGTAATCGCTATAAAGTGGTTTCATAAAGTTTCGCGACATTCATAAAGTGGTAATTTAGAAAAATTACTCTATCATTTTTTGTCTGTTTGTTTTTTTGACGGGCCTGTTAGTCTAGTGGTTAATGACCCTGACTGCTAAGCCGGAGGTCGTGAGTTCGATTCCCACCCCGGACAAATATTTGTGTGATGAGCACGATCGTTTTTTCTGTGTCTGGGTGTAATTTATCTATAATATGTATGTATTTAGAAATATATTAGTGTGTTTATCAGCAGTCTGGTCACCATATCACAGGATCTGCCTAGTTTATGCTCAGACAGCCGTGTGTGAGATGTTGAACTTATTATTATGTAAATATATGTATATTCGTATGTTTGAACATAAATCATTTATTTTGACCACGTTATCTATTCGAATACAAAAGTCTTTACAATAATTACGTATTAAACTAGTAAAGAAGTTTACTAGGCACCAGCTCATCGAAGCTGGCCTGGCACGGAGGCGTGACGCGTTCCGAGAGCGCCTCTCTAAACCGCAAGGAGGGTAAGACCCTGTGTACTCAATGGCGTAGCTGCCCAGGACTGTCGGTGTTCTCGGGGACTTTCTTCCTAGGGTGCCATGTCATCTTTGGGTCTACTCTAATACGTAAATGTTTAAGGGGTTAGTAGATAGTGATATCAACTTTGATGGCGTAAATAAAATTGTATTAGACATTTTAAGTCACCGTGGGAAACACTAAACGTCAACTAAATCGTAGTCTCGCTAAAATATAATAAAAAGTTGAATTTTATTACCGTTTTCTCAATATTTTTTTATTTCTTTTATCGCGAATCTGTTAATATTTATAAAATTGCATTATTAAAATTATGTGATCACATCATATACAACATGAAGAACTTGCCCCTCCCTCACATCCCCCTTTTAAATAATACATTAATTTAAAATTTACTTAACATTGTTTAATAATTAATAACATTTAAAAACTTTCGTTTAATATAATAACTACACTACCAAATTTCATTTTTTAAACTTTATTGAGAATTGAAAGAATTACTTTCAGAATAAAAAAAACTAGGCAAGATAATCAATCATCGTCTGCATAGCACACAGGTTCTAATGCCATTCAAAAGGTACACAAAACAAAATACCTGAGAGTTTTAGTTAACAGTAAAACTAGGGTATTTTTGTACAACGGCCTTGTTTACAGTATTTTGGAGTATTTAAGTATTGTCTGGAGACCAAATTACGCAAAATACAAGCTTAGACTCAAACGAATCCAGAAGAGGTTTCACTGGGACCTAATATTTTCCTTCGGTATGAGTAAAGTCCTATAAAACGAGACTAACTCACTTTAAGATGGTTTCTCTGGTTAAACATTTCAATTTGGTTGACTGCCTTTTCCTATTTAAATTATAAAAATCTCAAATAGATTGTCCACGTGTGGTGACGTATTAAGAATACGGAGAGTCATCACATCTATTCATAACGTGAGTGTCGTAAGAGCCGATTAAGGGAGATTACGTGTAGAAACCTTGGAATAAACTTGAAACAAACCCTATCCAAACCGTCTGGTCAGCGTGGTATAGTAGGCCAAAACCTCCTTTCTACAGAGAGGCTTTGAGGATTGTCCATCTTTATAAGCAATAATTATAAATTTCAAGTCCCAACTAGATATCCTCCTCTTCATAGAACAATCCTCAGAACCAGTTTCGAAATTCCCAGGCCATGTAAAATACCAAGTATCTACATTTAACTGGCCTATATTCATACTGACTCGTATAATAAGATCCGAAAAATTGACCTCAGTCTAAGACATGATGAGTTTTTAACTTACTTTCATATAATAATTTATTTAATTTTCTATTAAATATGTTTGCCTAAGTACAAGGTATGATGTTACATGCGTTACTTGCCTGTTAGTAAGTTAAATAATTGTTGCACGAGACTATCATATCTGTATAAATGCTACCTGTTTATGCAAATGAGTTTAAAAATTATTGGTGAGCCAGTAAGGAAAATAATAATAAATTATAGTTAAAAAACAACACGCTTTTGTAACAAAAAGTAGAAAATTGTTTTCGATTTAGTTAAGTAGAAATTACGATAAAGTTATTTTTCTTTTTGAACTTATAGTTCAAAAAGAAAAATAACTATATCGTAAAATGCGTGGGGTGCTAGATATCCATTGTTTTAAAAATATTTTACTGACGGATATTGGTAAAAGTAAAGTTATTTTATTTTAAAATATTTTAAAAAGCACCCCACGCTTACTTATACGCAAACTATATGCATGCATTTTAGTTACCATTTATTACAGCATCATAATACAATAATTATTAGGATCAGGACAAAGAACCTTTTTTCAGTTCTGCCTTCCTAAATAACTATTAAATTTGGTATAAAATATTTTTGCTACTATTTTTAAAAAGGTTCCTTGGTATTTTTATTACATTTAGATTCCAGCAGTTTATCATAAATAGCCGTTACACTTGTGAAAGTTGTTGTTCTTCTATAACTTGCTAAATAAACTAGTGTAAGTATTTATTGTTGACTAAATTAATAAAGTTAAATTTTATAAAATAGAAATAAATAAATATTAATTGAAGTAGTAAGTTTACTCTTTAGTATCATTGTTCCGAATTGTTATGTAAATGACATTGAAATTGTCGTGAGGGAACAACCACTTATTATCTTCTTATCAATGGTTCTTGTGTAGTAATACCTGCTTAGTGTGTGTGTAATTAGCGTTCACAACGGTGTTGATAACAATTAAGGGCACCATTTCTGGTTTTAAAAGTATTTACTTTCACACCCGGAACCGTAAATCTTTACTAGGTAACTTTAGTTATACATCCTGTAAAGAAAATAACAAGAAAAAAATGCCTGGCGAAGTTAACGTTAATATTGTGGAGATTGAGTCATCAGCATTTTTTGGGAAATAAAATAATCAAAAACGAAAACATATTGACGACGGTAGTTACTTACCTTCAAGTGATCCGTTTGCCTCTATCCCATAAAAAATGACGTAGGCACAATGAAATCTGTTATAATGTTTTAATAGTTAGTTACCTTAGGTATTTGAGGTACAACCAACACCACCTCCGGATATCACCTAATATTGGGTGGTGGAGCTCATCCCCAGATTAAACAACTTATAAGTGTCAGCCACCCTGACGTTACGTTGTATAAATCATAGTTGAACCAAGACTCTACGTTGACAGTGTTTTAATTTCATACCTTCTACATTTCAGTTTTAATGCATTGATTTGTTTTCTTTTCTGCCATTGTAATATTTCTCAATTAATTCCCAAAAATACACCTACCACACACAGTTTTGCAACACCCAAAGACTTGACTGGAAGAAAACGCCTGGGGCATTAAGTCCGTCTTATGAAATACTCACTCAGACTCAATAAATAAAATTGTCTAAACTCAATTTGGATGCTGTATGCAGCTTTTACTGATTCCTTTCATTTCCTTTCAGATCCAGTACTGCTAAAAGAAGGAAAACTTGTCACAAACTCTATACCAACCGGTCTGGCCAGCATCTTATAGTACTCGTAGGTCAAAACCTCCTTTCTAAGGAGAGGCCTTTGTCCAGCAGTAGACTATTGAAAGCTGTTCATGATGATTAAAATGATGTGAATACATGTGAATGATGTGATAATGAAAATCATCTGGCACTAATATAAGAATATGCTGACCAACATAGGCTTGAGAGTTGAGTGCTCAGAAATTCTTGGAGAGGACATTTATTGAGTGGCAACTATGAAAAATGAAGTTTGCCGATTGACAGCATTTTTAATCAAAATTAATAATATCTATTTTATTTCTTGTTTTATCTGTTCCCTTTTTATTTATGAAATATTGTTTTATACTGTATTCAGAACTTTCTTTTTTTTTGAAAATTTTGTACCGATCGAGACTAACCCTTAGCATTCGTTGTAAACCTTCGTGGCTTAGGAAATGCTATGTATATTAAAATTATCTCATTAGGCGGTCCTTACATAGCAACCAGAGATTTATTATCATTTAATTATACCAGGGCCCCACCTATCAGAATCAGAATCATAATGCTTTATTAGTTAACATAGGTAGGTAGGGTTACAATGATCTATGAAGTGTTACAGCATGAAGTAGGTGCGCTATGTTTTGCCATATGGCGTACAAATATTTTTAATTCAAAGTACCTAGCGGAATTATATCTTTACCACTATAGTGTGAAACAAAAACATAAAATCATGAGCAATAATTTAGGCATAAAAGATAATTTATACAATAATCATAAATAATATGTCAAAATAATAATGGCCAATAAAAGGCCTTATTTATTCTTTCAACCTGTGTGCTGTTTATTGAAGTGGTTAGGCTCAAAACACTTTCAAGGTATGGCTATTACAGATTCTGGACAAGAAGTCTAGATCTAGCAGTGATGAGTTCATTTATAGATCATAGTAAAACAGCCAAAGCCCTATAAGGAGGCTACATTGGTGGTATAAAAAGAGATTACTTTCCACATTTCAGTTACTAGATGACCTTGTTAAGTAAGGACTTAACAATATTTTTTAACCATCTTTTTGAATAAAAAGAAATTTGTCAGTTTAAATTATATTTTATTTATGAAATCAGTCAGTTATTTAAAATTATTTAAAGTCATTTGGCACTTCACTAAATAATATGGCGATACAATCAATAAGGTAGGAATGCTCTGAATGTTTCCGTTTTCCATCTTCACTGATATAGTCGTCACAAATACCAAAAAAATGCATGACATTGTTAACTGTCACCTGATATTTTTTCCGTAAAATAAGCCTACATATATTTTTTTATTATATTTACACAAGACGGGAATGCATTTATTCGAACAAACAGAGCTCTTCAATTTCTGACTTACAATTTGAACTACTACAAAATTATGTACATACAAAATATATTTGAAACATTTATATTTACAAATTTTATTTACAAAAAAGTTTATATCTCATTGTTACATTTTTATTTTATCAAATGAAATTTTAGGTATTAAATAAAACAAGTGACAAATTGACAGTGCCATTTGTCATACTGTAGGAGTTCATTTTAATCTCAGTAATATGACGGCTCTCAAATATGTTTTTAAAACGTTTGAAAAACGACATATTTATTTATCGCAAAGATTTTGAGTTTTTCTAAAATTATTACAAGTCCAAAATGCGATTTATTGTAACCTTAAAAAGATGAGTTATTTATATAAACAATATATGGCAAGAAAAGAGAGACCTTGATACAAGATCGCAATGTTTTATACATGTGTTTAACAAAATAATACTTAAATATATTTACAATCAACGAATATTATTAAACGTATTCTTCAGACGGCTTCGGTGTACCATTCTGCAATCTAAGTGATGACGATATTCTACCATTGACGGAATCGGGTAATTCAGCTATATCTTTAAAAACGTCTATCATACTTTCAAAATTTGGACCCCAATTAAAGAGGTCGAGAGGAGCAGGTCCCCATCCAAGTGCTGCTGACGCCGGGGATCCGTTTGCTTGTCTGTACAGAGCGGAGCTAACATGAGGGGCTAGGTCATCATCAGATGCGACTAAGGTACTCAAAGATCCGCGGAACGAAGAATCAAAACTTTCGTATGGAGGTGGTAATATTGGTTTTTTAGGATTACTTCCTCTGCTAACATTCTGCCTTCTAACATCTTCTAATTTATCCGCGTTTATACTATTATTATCATATTCTATTTCAGAACAAGTAAAGCTATCATTTCCACTTTCGTCATCGGACCCAGTTGAACTTCTATTATCGTCTGGTGGTGAGTGATGTCTGTGTGACATATGATGACCAACTCCTCCTCCTCGTGGTGCTTCACTTGAACTTGACACTGCGTCCAATGTAGACACTAAACTCGAAGTCCGTTGTCTAGCATTCATTCTTTCTATTTCTTCTGCAGTTAGCCCTACTGCACCTGAACCAACTGAAACTACCTGGGGAACTTGAGGTGGGGCGCTGGGAGTTTTTCTACCTGCCGAAGAACTTTGGCCACTTAGTTGAGACATAACTGGGCTATTTAAACTCCTTTCGCTGTTACTATGTAATGCATCTTTACCAACTCCACCGGAGCTGGAAGTTGTGGCTAATAAAGCACTTTGTAGAGGTTTTCCAGAAATATCATGAAGAGTTAATATGCGAGGCTGCTGACTGAGTTCACTACTTGGTGATAAACGGGCTAATGGTGTAGTTTGGTGTTGTCTTGGTTGAGGTGGAGGCTGAGCAGCTTGTGGTACCCTTGATGGATAGCCACTTGGATGATGAGGTGAATGGCGGTGCTGTGGAGTTTGATGTTTATGATGATACCCCGCAATAGGCGGTGGAGTTGCTTTATACTTTCGAACTCCTGCCGCTTCCCTGAATCCTTTGTAATGATAAACAATGTCTATGTCAGAAGGCGCGATTGAACTGGCATTTTCTAAATCATAGTGTTCAGGTACTTCCGAATTTAAATCCATTCCACTAGGGTGATCATGCGTGTGGTGTGAATTATTTGTAGACGGAGGTGGTGGTGGGTGATGGTCTTCTCTAAGTGCTGGACTTTTCCCTACCACTTCGCGTTCAATGATATCAGGGCGTTGCGGTCGCGGTGGGTCAATGTTCATAATTTCTCTGTCTTTATACTTCTTTGATAATAATTCGGGGCCAACTATATGACCAACATTGCGAGTAATGTCTGCATTTTCAGACATGTAACTATTCAAACTGGTGTCATTATTATGAAGGTTTCTGTTCATTAGGCTATCATTAGTGCCTGCGATAAGATTTGGTGCATTCAACATTGCAGGACCTCCGTTTTGCTTAGAATGTACCATGCCACTTTTGTTCGCTGATCCATTTCCTTTTTCTTTCTTCTGTTTCCGAAGTCGGTAAAAGATAATGGAAACTGAAATTGCAACTAACAAGATGACAAAAAATACTATCACAAGTGTTATTCCGATACGTAATGGATTATTTTGAACAGCTCCAATACCAAAAGCACTATGACAGCCATTGAGTATTTTACCTCTAAAAACTGTTTCTTGAAAAATACTACCGTTTCCACTAAACGGCTGGATTTCATAATTAACAGAAAAGTTGGCTAGACACCCTTCAAATTTATTTTGGCTCGATGTCGTTACCCATTCAGGTTTAATGCCTCCTAAAGATATTATGGTTAGATATGGATCTAAAAAATCATGAACACCAGCTGCATCAAGCTCCTCACCTACGTGTTTACCATCCACCAATAGGCGTATACTTCTACCAACGGACACTAAAGTAATGTTATGCCAGTTACCATCAGAAACATCGCTTTGCTCTGCTTGACTCATATTGACCACAGTATTTTGTTTTGATGTATACGTAACTTTTCCTTCTAGCAATTCAATCAAAGTGAAGTATTTGTCAGTTGCTGAGTAAAATAGGACACCGTCTCTTCTATTTGTTTTAAAAAAGAATGTTAATAATTTTGCTGGACTATTTACTTTAGGTATAACTTTTCCGACAGACCTGCTATTTTTCTTTGACCATCCTGTATTTCCTCCGTAAAAGGTTTCAAGCAACTGCATTCTTCTATGTTTCTCAGATATTGTGTATGAAACAAATCCATTTTCAGCAACCGAAATTGATTGTAGTGAACGACTACAATCGGGTGATACAAAATTATTGTCACACTTGCATATATTAGATTTCCATCTATCCAAACATTGACCAAAACCACAAACATCTTTTTTGAAGCAAGCTCCTTTTTCCGAGCGTTCGCATTTTGGTTCTACACTTCGTGATTTTAAAGGATTTGTGAGATTGAGTAATCGCCCATTAATACTAATGCTATGCATACAACCGATAAAGTCATCGGAATGAATTTGACCAGGGCGCTCCAGAACTGGGTCTGCTTTATGAAGACCACCAATCAGCAAAGGTTCATTGTTGAAATTTAAAGTCCTGAAAATAAAAATGAGCGGAAATTATCATCAACTCATAAAACTTTTTCAGATAGCTAAAGCTTAATAGCTTTTGTTATATAGATTCTTAAACTCTGATGAAATCTGTGTAGTAGCTTTTAATCTGAGAAAAAAATCCTATACCTGACATGTTTTTCATGGCACTGGTTTTGTGAGCCTTGAATGGCACCGATAACTGTTAACTAATCATTAAGGTGACACGTCTAAAGGTAATAGGCTACTGGTGTCAAGTGCGTTGGTACTCGTTTATCAATATCATTGTAATTAATATTAAGGTATGTACGCACGTTTAACTAAAATATTTGTCTGTTAGATTTTAAATTTGATAGAAAAAATCGATAAAATAATAAAGATACTCACCCTGCTTGTCCAGTATCATCATCGTAGCATGAATCATCCCCAGGTTCACATTCAGTACAAACATCTCCATGTTCAGTGCAAGACGCTACGCTGAGAGAAATCACTCGCCCATTTCGAGTTGCAGTAAGTTTGTACCAATTACCATCAGCCAGATTTTTATTTGAATGCATTATTGACACAGATGTTATGGACGTTCTTGCTCCTCCAAAAGAAAAAGATGGCTTGCCTCCAAGCAATTCTATTGCTATAAAGTCTGATCTGCCACCAGTCTGCGACCCGTAATTGTATAATAGTAACGCTTCAGGTTTAGTAGTGGCAAATATTATTGTTATATCATTAGTCGATGCATCAAGGGAGGGGAATTGCATATAAGAGAGTTCGCCAAATCCGAATGTTGTACTTTCACAGTGTGTTCCATACCGACCATTAGTACAACTGCATTTGTAGCCAGGTTTTAAACTAATACATATTCCACCGTACAAACAGGGATTAGGCCTGCAAGAATCTACTAAGGCTTCGCAGTGATTACCGCGGTAGCCTGGACGACACAAACAGAAAAATGAATTTCGATCAGCACTTTCTTTACAAGAGCCTCCATTCTTGCATGGATTATTGTTACACACGTCATCTCTTTCTAATTCACATGTTTTACCATCGCGACGAGCTGGGCACGAGCATGTAAAATCATGGCCTTGTTTCCGACATTGTCCTCCATAACGGCAAGGGTTAGGTGAACACGGATCTTGACGCTTTTCACAGTTGGTACCTATAAATCCTTCTGGACAATGACAGACATATTCGTGTTTTACCAAAGGCGAAGATAAGATAAGCGTAGAACTTTCAATAATTTTAGTATCATCTAAAACTCTGATTGAATCTGTACACTGACCGTCATTTTGACACTTTTGTGCAGCACATGGAAAATAAGAGATTATTATTTCTCTCTTAAGCAACTTCGTCACCAACATTTTTTTGGCTTTCAGATGTTTTACCGTATTTTCTTTTCTCCAAATAGTATTATTATCTCTTGTAGCTATAGTTAAATCTAAATGTCCTTCTACTTCATTAATACTATACAGGGAAATACTATCTTTATTTTTTAGGTCTTCTCTTAGAATCTCGAGTAAGCTCCGATAGTAATAGGTAAGAAAATTGGATGCAGTCATGTTCAAAATTCTGATAGTAACAGATTGTTCCACAGTAGTATTATCAAAGGAAAAGAATTCAACACTAATTGATGATACAACATCCCTGTGAACTCCATCATTACCAGAAACGGAAAAAGAATAACCTTGCCCCGGCTTAACTGCGTTAGTATAAAGGTTACAACCTGTAGGAATTTTTAGTAGCGATAATGTATTTTCTGATGTAGATTCTTTAATAATTTTACACTTATAATCACCAATTATATCAGGATCATTTGGTTTGACATCAGCGATTTTTCCACGAGGAACCTTATTGTTAAATGCGTAAACAATAATATGCGCTGATCTTGGCGTTGGAGGATTGTCATTTCTGTCTAAAACTTTTATTAGTATCGTGTAATTTGACTTCATAACTGGGCTACCACTGTCTTCGATTTCAATGATTACCTCCAAATTAGGCGTTAGTTCTCTGTCTATTTTCTTTGTTGTCACAAGAACTCCAGTATGTCTGTGAACCTTAACGTTACTTTGATGTTTGCCTCCTATAATAGCGTAAGAAAATGGAGCTCCGTTTGGTGGCAAATCAGAATCTGTAGCGGAAATCGTAGCAATACTCGTATTAGGAGGTTCGTTTTCATATACCGAACCTTCAAAATTAGATATATCAAATATAGGAGCGTTGTCATTTATATCTGTTACAGATATTTTAACTGTAGCCGTGCCAGTTTGCGGGGGCACTCCTGTATCAATAGCACCAACAGTTAATGAATAGATAGGCAACGTTTCTCTATCTAACTGACGAGCTACTTCTATTTCTCCCGTTTGAGGATCTATTTTAAAATCTTGATTGGTATTACCCCCAATTATAGAGAAGCTGAACTGGTTATTCTGCGGTCGTACGTCCTTATCAATTGCTTGTACTTGAATTACTTCTTGCCCTATAACAGCACCTTCGGAAATACTTGCTTCATAAAAATGATGCAGAAATTCTGGTGGATCATTACCATCTTGAATGGATATTATAACTTGAGCTTCATCAGTATCGTTTCCGTGTATACCACCTGAATTTTTTGCCAAAACTGTTAGCACGAACCTATTTTGAGTTTCTCTATCTAAATAACGAGCCACTCGAATGACACCTGTTTGTGAATTTATACTAAAGCCTTTGTCATTACTTGACCCTACAAATAAATAGTAGATTATTCCATCGTCTCCATTATCTTGGTCGGTAGCTTGAACAATGCCAACATTTGCACCAACTTCTGCAGACTCTGATACGTCAAAATGAAACACGGGTTGTTTAAATTTAGGAAAATACTCATTCACGCCTGTTATGTGAACAATTACTTTGGTTGTGTTTCGCATAACTGAATCTGGATTTTCAGCTCTAATTTCTAGCGTATATATCATTTTTTCTTCATAGTCGAATACTTCTTTTGAAAATATTTCACCGGTATTAACATCTACGTGGAACAACGATGCCATTTCATTATTTATGTAATATTTAATTATGGAATTTTTTGGGGAGTCTATGTCGATTGCAATAACTTTGTATATAAAACTGTTAACAGGCGAATTTTCGGGCAGGTAAGCAACATATTCTGTTTGGTTGAATTGGGGAGCGTTGTCATTAATATCTGTCAAAATAATTGTGAGAGTTGCAATAGTTTCTTTAGGCTTGAAACCAAGATCTTTGGCTGTGATATTAAGTCGGTATTCTTGTATAGTGTCAAAATCTAATGGTCTCAAAATACTTATTGAACCAGAAATTGGATGAATTCGGAATTCTTCACCAGCGTTCCCAGATGAAATTGAATAACGTACAATACCATTGGGACCATAATCTTCATCACTTGCTTTGACTGTAAGAATTGTAGAACCTACAGGTTCGTTTTCAGGAACAATAACTTGGTAGCTTAGAGCTGTGAATTTGGGACTATATGAATTTTCACCAGTCACAACAAATATTACTGATGTCTCGTCCGATTGTGGAGGAACTCCTCGATCTACTGCTTTTATTTTTAACTCATAATATTGACTCAAATAATAAAACTGTTTGTTAACAACAATCCATCCATTTAATTTGTCTATTCCAAGATATGCTGTCCCATTTCCACCACGTACGTAATATTCTACTTCAGCATTGATCCCGAAATCCATGTTATCTTCTGCTGTAAGCTTTATTATTTTTTCTCCAGGAATTGCATCTTTTGGCACAGGTACAAATCTTTCATGTTCCTTGAATTTAGGGGCATTATTATTTGCATCTACGACATTTATAGTTACCAAACATTCAGAAGACATTGGAGGTTTCCCATTGTCTGTGGCCACCACAACAACAGAATAAGTATTTTCAGGTGATGAATTAATAGATGTTCTTTTGTAATTCATCCTAAGTTTACTTAATATTTCTCCTGTTGCTGGATCAATAGAAAACAAATCAGAAGGTTGTTGTAAGGAATAAGAAATTATAGAATTAGGTCCTTGTTTGTCTCTATCCGTAGCAATAACTTGTCCAACGAAACTATTTTTGTTTTGTAATTCTGGGAAGTTGAAACTATAAAATGAATATTCAAATTCTGGTGCATTGTCGTTCTGATCTTGTATAGTTATAGTCAAAGGTGTTTCAGAACGCCACGCTCCGTCTGTTGCTGCTACTTTTAGAATGTACTCGTCTTGTAGCTCTCTATCCAAAGGTCGTGCCACAGTTACATTTCCACTTATAGGATCTATTAAAAACTTATTACCCGGGTTTTCAACAAAACTGTACGTAGCGTTAGCATTAGGGCCCGAATCTAAATCTGAGCTTGTAAGCCTGATTACAAATGATCCAATTTCGGCATTTTCTGTTACATTAACACTGAAAAGTCGCGTAAATCTAGGTGGATTGTCATTTTTGTCAATTACGGTTACTATAACTGTAGACGTTCCTACAAGCTGTGGGACTCCATGATCTACAGCTTCCACAATAAGTTCATAAAATGGAATCGACTCACGATCTAGAGCAATATTTGTATAAATCTCTCCATTTTCAGTGTCTATTCTAAAGGTTTCATCGTAGTCATCAACTAACTTGAAGGATATACGACCATTTTCATTAGAATCTTCGTCATGAGCATCTATTTTAATTACTAGTTGAGGCGGAGATTCCTCTTCTAATATGGTTGCATTATACAAAACATTATCAATTACCGGCGGATTATCATTTGCGTCAGTAACCTTTATTTCTATTTCAATAAATGACTTTAGTGGAGGGTTATCAGAATCTCGTACTTCAAACCATACTTCATAGAGTGGCATCGTTTCATAATCGAGTCCTTTACCAGTAATAAATACTTCCCCACTCATAGGTTCCACTCTTAGAGCATCTCCGACATTACCACCTGCAATACCAAATTGTAATAAACCAGGTGGCCCTTTCTTGGGAGATGTAGCAGATAATCTTGTTACTAACACTCCTTCTGGAGTATCTTCAGAGAAAGTAAACGTCAGTTTGTTGGTAACAGTGAACTTGGGAAAATTCTTTACAGATTTGGGTATCAGTATTAGTTCTGCATTACTTTGTTTTGGATCCTCGCCACTATCGGTTGCTAGGATTAATAAATTAAAAGTTGTGCCTGTTTTATCCTTGTATTTCATCAAATTTTCATTAGCTTTTATCACTCCAGTTTCTCTGTTAATTGTAAATAAATTTTGATGTTCACCTTTCAAGTCATAAACAATCTTTTTGTTTAACCCAATATCATTATCAGTAGCTTTAACACCAAAAACAAAATCTCCTTTCACTGTCCGATCAGAAATGTGTGCTTCGTAAACGGGATGAGCAAAAGTTGGTGTATTGTCATTTTCATCTTCAATTATTATCGTAAGATTTGCAGTAGCTGTTCTAGGATCGGTGGTAGATGAATCTTGAGCCATTATAATGAGATAATAAACGTCCCAGTCTTCTCTATCTAAAGTTGCATTCGTTGTTATAATTCCAGTTGTGGAATCTATTTGAAATCTTTCAGACTTATCACCCAAAAGACTATAACGGATTTTGGCATTGTTTCCAATATCTTTATCTGTAGCTTTTGGAGCAAGAATCACAGTCCCTGGAGGCAAGTTTTCTTTCACATTTGATCTGTAACTTTGTCTTTCAAAGTCAGGGCTGTTATCGTTTACATCTCTTACCACAACTTTAACCGTTCCTGATCCTGTCAGTGGAGGAGATCCTAAAACAGAAAAATTACTTCAATAAAGTGATTAGAAACAATGTCAAAAATAAATTTTATTTAGGGAACTCTCGAGGGTTATTGTTCTAATGTATTCTTTACTTTTTAGACTATGCCTAAATTTACATTACAAATGCAGTAATAATTAGGCAATGCCGGAAATATTTGAATATCACATAAAATATAAAGTTATATTATATCTAATGTAGTAATATATTATTTTACCTGTATCCATAGCAACAAGTGCTAAAGTATATTCCTCCTGAGCTTCACGATCTAATGTTCTCAGTAAGGAAATTTGCCCGGTCGATGCATTAATTTTAAACAGATCGGCATCTCCTTCCTTTATGAAATAGCGGACTTGGTTGTTAAATGGTGGTGAATCAGCGTCATAAGCATGAATTGTTATTATATACCCGCCATTAGGAGGAATTATATTTTCCATTACGTATGCTAAGTACGGCGAATCTAAGAACGTGGGTGGGTTATCGTTTATATCTTGAATAGAAATAGATAATTCAGCCGTATCAAATCTCACGTCATCTTTAGCGCAATCTTCGGCTCTGATCGTAAGCAGGTAACGAGATTTTCTTTCAAAGTTAAGGTTTTTGGCCACTCTTACAATGCCGCTATCTTCACTGATACTGAAATCACGATTTTCATCACCAGAAGCAATTGAGTACCTAACCCTACCATTTGCTCCTTCATCTATATCTGTAGCAGAAACCTGAAAAACGGTATTATATTATTTATCACACATTCATATCTACGAGTATTATGGTGGTAAAGATTTGGTAACATCATATGTGACGTGTATGGAGAGAACAAAGTACCGAGAGTTTTCGTTTTCGAACCAAATATACACTAAGTATACGACATGTATAGCATATATTTTGGCCTATCGTGGTACAGCAAGTTTATACCATATCACACCAAACCGAAATTTGACTACCACACTAGCTCTAGTACTGTCATAATATGAACTATGTAATATCAACTTGTAGTTGTATTGATTCAAAACACTATTATTTACCTGGAGTACACTTGCGCCAATGCTAGCATTTTCTGGAACTGATGCGCTATATTGTTTGGGATCAAAAACTGGGCTGTTGTCGTTCTCGTCCAAAATGTTAATCCTTATTTTCGATTTTGTCATATTAGGCGGATCACCTCTGTCCTTAGCTGTGACAGTTATGGTGTAAGTGGATTTCAATTCTCTGTCTAATTTGCCTGTTGCCCTTAAGATGCCGTCTACATTACCCAATGAAAAGTATCCATTTATTTCCGGATCTGGTGTCATAAAATATTCAACATAGCCATTTCTGCCTTCATCTTTGTCAACAGCTTTTATTGTCATTACGACGGTATTCAATGGAATATTTTCGGATACTGTTGTTACATTGGGTGTCACAAACTCAGGTGCCATGTCATTGACATCCTTTAGTTGTATAGTAACCTGTAACCATAAAACGCAGTGTGAAAAACGAGCTACACGAATATAATAAAAGTGTGAAACGAGTAAGAATTTATGAATTAGTGCAACGCGTTTAAGTAATTTTTGATTTTATTTTATTTTTAGTAAAACGAAATCCTATTCGTAAACTTCATAGAATTCGATGTAATGTAAGTAAAATAATAAAGGTTTGCACGCCTTACGCTTCCGTTGACTTCATCAAGACTACATTGTGAAATTTAACAATAGGCGTACTGAAGAATAGTTCGTAATGAACTTGAACATTTCCCATAAAATGTATGATATTAAAAATAACTATATAATTGCGAACAAACATAAAACTTTAGTTAAATCAAAAGTCTAATAATTTGCTATATAAATACTATGTTTGGAGCATTTGATCCAGGCTTGCTAAAAGTAATACAAGCGTATACAAGTAAGAAATGCATTTTAGATTCCTTTGAATATCAACTTAGCTGCCTGCTAAGTTAACTTATCTCTAAAAATTGATTAATAAATATACTGCTTGAATTATAAAAGTTACTTAAAACAATCAGAGGGTTAGAAAACTGAACTATATGGAAATATTAGCCAAAACGATCACCTTTTATTTCTTGAAATTCGGACAAGATACATATTTACAACAACAATGAAAAAATAAAATCTAATATTTTTGAGAAATTTCAAAATATTTTGTGAAAACTAATACCCTTAGCCGTAACTATTGTAAATAGCAAAGTAGGTACCTGTACAGTTGAAGAGAGTTGAGGCTCAGGCAGCTTTGCCATGTCTTTGGCAGTCACGACAAGATTGTATATTGGAAGTGTCTCTCTATCTAGCAGTTTTGCTGTGTATATGGTTCCATTGTCCGCGATAGTGAAATCCTGACCATCATCTCCGGCAGATATGCTATATGCCACTTTACCATTTAAACCTGTAAACGAATGCGTTCCGTCTTAAATTATAATAGGCATATGTCGGTGCTATGTTTGATAATTACATTTTCTTACCTAACATTTGCTGCTCCCTCGAAAGCATTAAAATGAATATACATTTTAACTTTAAAAAATGATCTTAATATTTCACTAACCTTAAATATATTTAGTTATCTACTTTAAATACACTAAAACATCATTTATGTTATTAATCTAAATACGTACCCAACTCCGTAAATATTTGACATTTAGAAAAATTATAAAAAATTTGTATCTAGGCTCTGGTTTAAGAATCTTTATTTCTCAAAAGAATTTACAAAATTCACTTACTGAGAAAACATACATAAAAGTAAACAAAATAAATCCAATGAGCGTTTGAATATAATATAAAATAAAAGTGGGTAGTCAAATATATTTTGCGTAAGATTACGAACTTGCAAAACACTCGAACACAGAAAACAATGGGAATCCAAGCAACTGAACCAAAGATGTAACTTGAAATTATTAACTAGATGTGGCATCCAGATGGTAAGTACACTCTTCTATTTTTATTACTGAATTCTTTTTTTTTTTTTTTTTTTTTTTTGATACTTGATTGAGACTGTTTTATTTTTTATTTTTTTTAGTTTTTTTTGATTTATTTATTAAGATTTATATTTGTAAATATAAAAACATACTCATATGCATAGACGTACATATACACATACATATACATACACACACACACATGCATGCACATACCCTGCATGCACTTACACACACACACATACGCACACACACGAATATTATGTGCATATAGAATTTTTTTTTTTTTTGTTTTTATCCTTATTAGTTTATTTGATTGTGAATGTTTTAGTACAATAATAATGTATTAACTAATAAGTAGCTGCTATGTGTTTCTTCAATGTTTTTTTAAATGTAGTCAATGTAGTAGCATGTTTTATATTTAATGGTAATTTATTGTATATCTTTACTCCTTCAAATTCAATATTCTTCTTTCCATAGTTCGTTCTGGGTGGTCGAGTTACAAGATGGGTAGCGTTTCTTAGTTTCATTTTTTGCCGAGCACTATTTGTTGTAAAAGATGGCTCTATTAAACTGTTTGGACATCTACACAGTTATGAGGTTCTTGGACGATGTTATGAAAATATTTTAGCTGGGCCGGATTTTGTTGACCGGTGGGTGCCTTTTAGTATAACCAGGCACAGACTTGGTATCAAACTAACTGTTTACTTAACTGGCTTATGCCAGTTACATTATATCTATATATATAAACTATTCAGTTATTGTTATACTCGGTTTTTTACCTGAGTCTAAATCTGTTGCACTTATTGTGACAACGGAAGAGCCAACGGGAACGTCTTCTAGAATTTCATTAGAGAAACTCATTGGGTCGAATATCGGTGCGTTGTCATTAAGATCGATGACATTTATATAGACGGTGACGGTACCAGACAGGGATGGATGGCCGTTGTCTTGAGCTTGAGCAACTAATATGTAGTGCTGAGTCTGAAACAATAAATTATTTTTCTTATTAATAGAAGCAGGTAGGATATCATCAGGGGTAAAACATAAACGGCATTTTATTGAACAAAAATAATACAGTTGTAATAAAAATAGTTTAAGCCAAGAAAAATGTACTTTTTGATGTATGTACATATTTTTATCACTCTATATTAAATTACGAAATGACTTCAAGCAAGAATATTTGGCCTTTACATTAAGTATGGTACGACAGATTTTTCATATAATAGGACACCGAAGCTTCCCAGCTATGACAAGCTCCCTCATTCGCGGATCGTGGAGCGAGATGGCAATTTAAAAAACAAGTAGTGGTCGCGGAATCCGGCCCGGGGATGTTTTGCGGACGGCCGCTTTGTCTGACATTGTTCGAGCCTTAATTTCGATGGCGGATCGAGCGGGCAAATGCCGAATATGATGCGCGACGCGAAAAAAGTGTACTGGGATGAAATTAGCAGCTCTCTAGCGGGGTACGCGGAATTGGCGGGCGGTCGAGAGAACGAAAGTATCCAACGAATTGTTCTTACTAATTAACGGGGCAGGACGACTCGATGCGTTTGATGCGGTGGTTGGCTCGTGAGCAAACTGCACCCTTATGTACCGTCCTAACACGCGCATTCGCCTCTTTGAAACACAAGTGGAAGTAGACTAAACAGAGGTAGAAAGTAGATTTAAAAACAATAATATATCTTGTATGTCAGTGTCCTGGAAGTGTATTGTATATTAAACGATAAAAAACAAGTGTCATTGATTTCATTGCTCCTAAAATAATACAGACTATATATTCGTCTATATTGATAATTAAGTTAATAATTAACCTACTCATAAACTTAACGTAGTCTTAAAAGTCATCGTATTAATCCTCAGGTATCAGATAATCAAAAGTAATCTCAGGTTGCATTTAAGGACACTGGAAAAATTAAAAAATCTTAAAAGGGTAAGGTGAGGGTATGTATCTAGGGGACCTCTGGTGGCAGATTAGTTGAGTTGTGGGATGATTGAGGCGGGGAAAATAGCGACTTTCCCTGGGATAGGGCCATGTGAGGCGTGGTGTCGATTCGGGGAGGACCTGAAATCACATAGTCCAAGTCCTCCTAAAGTAGAGTGCCTGTGGCCGGCCACCGGGGTGGTTTTTATTGAAATCACCCTTGCTCCCAAGGAGCAGGTGATTGAAAGGGATTTTTACCCCGTCCACAAAAAAAGGAAAGGAAAAAGTATGGATGTAACATCACACTACGGCCCTTGGAATCAAGGGTATCAGTTACTATAACCGAATAAACTGCGGGGAACAGCTTGTTTAGAAATATTATAATATCTTTAACAAAAAGATAGAATACAAGCACAATTGACTGCACGGATGGCTTAGTGGTTTTAAGCGGTCGCCACGCCGCTCACTACTACGCCGAGTGTTGTGGTGTGGTGTGCCAAACATGGGACGACACTTAGTGTGATCCACAAATTGTTGTTCTGAGTCTGGGTGTTCTTTGTGTCCGGTTCATGTATGTTTGTAAAGTCCCCGACACAGGATATATTCCTAATGTGGGAGTTGTTTCTTTTATAAAAAGAAAAAAAAAATATTAGGAAAAATTATTATTAGAACTTTGTCAGCATTTTATGTGTTATATTCTGATGTTAGGCAACGAGATTTAGACAATATACTTATACAATTTGTTTATGGTGATTGTGTCGTCTTAATATAACTGTAATTGGAGCTTATAGTATTGTAATATATTAGAATAGAATAGATTAGTCTAGATAATTCAATATTTTTTATTGGATTCGGATACGTTTATACAAAGATTTTATAAGTGTGTTATGAATGGAAACTGAACTCATAATCCAGTAATAAGTCTCCGTAGGCGTAATTTATATATTTTCAAACAAATCCGTAGTTAGAAACAAAAGTATATTCTGTCATAACTTCTGTACTCCTTTATATTAAAGGTTAGTAGCACACAAAGTTTACACCTGAAAGTAATAGGAAGAAAATTTCTTTGGTGATCGCACTTAAAAGAACACAAACAGTAATAGCACCTGTAAAACAATTTTAAATTATTGACCTTACATAGGTTCAATATTTAGTGATATTTGTGAAATCCAGAAGTCTAACTATTGAATTTTTAAGGTGTACAACACCACTAATTTGTTTCTGATCAGTTGCTACTAGCCCGCATTTAAAAGTGCCTGATAGGATCATCTAAGATCGTTTTGAGAGACTGCTGCTTAATAATTTACCGAAGTTGAATAAATAAGTTTTTAAATGTCTCCCGCTCCCACAGCCACATTATTGTTTATCTTAGAGTAGTAAATATTTGTTCAGAATTCTTTAGAATTATTACACAAATATAAAATCGCCTCCTACCTAAAACCGAAAAATTACAAAACGACCTTTGATTTATGTCCAAAGAAAATTTAACGACTTGTTTGTCATTTTACTGAGGCATTGATGAGTACAATATAGTGGTTGCGACGAGAGCCGCAAAAACAGGTTAAATAGGCTTTATGCTGGGATACACTTTATGGAAATAAAAAAGTTTGTGCATACAACGTATAGGTACGTGACTTTCGTGCGAAGTTGGCACTGCACAATCGCCTATTTTTTGCTATTCCTCATAAATTAACATGTAAATGTTAAAACGCTAGAGATGTGCTATTTGCCTTAAGTTATCGGAAGTTTTTAGACTGCCCGGTCTTTTTGAAACTGTTCTTTCATTTACAACTCTACAATATGCGTAACGCAAATAGTATCAGATAAAAGGAGACAGATAAAGAGATAAAAGGAGTTTTCACTTTTTTGGATATTTCTCCATAAGTATTATCTACTTGTTACGGACGTACGATTGTTGTTATCTTGGACGGATTGTATTTCTAAACTTTGTACGAGTATTTTTTTTAGTGATTACTATTCTGTCCTGTCGTAATCATAATATCATAAGATGGCATATCGCGTATCATTGCATGATCGCGTAGAGCAATTCGTAACGCGCGTATCAATATTATAGAAAGACTGTTAAAGAACAGAAAGAGTTTATAGTTTACTAGCTTTTATTACTAGCGTGTGTTGTGTTGAAGCCCATTTTACTTGCTGATAATGTATGATTTAAAATTAGGGCTTCAATGCGTATCAAACAAACTCATTTCACATTTATGATATGAGTAGATTAAGTATGAGTTTTATTGGTTAATAGAAACCTTCTTGCTCCTCAATTTGTTTGTGATACCTTTTCATGATATTTTATAGGAGCGTGATATAAATTGACCAATACCTCTAATATATGTACATATCTTTATTTCAATTTGCGACTTCTATAAATACATTTTACATGTTTTTGCAGTATTATTGACGATATGCTTAAGGCAGCTGTAATGTCTTTTCATTTAGAGGTTGTCACTGATAGGTAACGTTATAACCACTATTTGTTTTTATATTAATCTATTATTTTAAGTAAAACGAACGGATATAGTAAAATCTGATTAAACAGTGGTATGATGTTTAAAAGGATTGCTTTTTCTTGTTGAATCGTTGACCTTATGATTCATATTTATAAACAGACTAGCTTTTGCCCCGCGGCTCCGCCCGCGTGTATGTTGTATGTCGCGGTAAAAAGTATAAAGCAGCTTTCCATTGGTGAAAGAAATTATAAATCGGTTTAGTTGTTTTGGCATGAAAGCGTAACAAACAAACAAACAAAGACAATTTCACACTTATAATATACGTATGGAAATATATTTGAACATAGAAAGAGTATTGGGATGGTTTACTGAAGGAGTTAAAGTGTAAATGAGATATAATCTTTTAATGCAACTCCAATTTTTTCAAGAATTGTTTATACACCTGTATATCATTGCTTAACAAAAAATTATCAGCAAGTATCACATTTAGGTGTTATAGTAATAAACTAAATATTGAGATTATACTGAGTGTTGTGATTTCTATAACAAACTTATGTTAGCAATACAATACAATCTCCCTATATTCTACTTTCAACTCACGTGACGAGAAAACAGGAATTATTTTTAGGCTGCCTAGTAATTCAGTATGAACTAGGTACCTGTATTGATTAAATATATTGAGTGAGTCATACCTGACTCGTTTTATATTAAATACTGACAAGCCCAAAGGCAATGCTGTCCTTGCTTCTTAAATTACGTGTATAATCTACGACTTGCAATAATTTTCACGGGACGTCATAAATATCATTCAACCCTTGTTTAAAATTCAATACTTGTATAAAAAGGCTTTATATGAGTTGTTTCTGATGCATATAAGTACATATATACTGTCTGCTGCTGGCGATAAGCGTATAGATTAACTGATGAATGAGAATTTACTGTAAACTACAGCTGTACTTTTTATAGATCGAATTGCAGCTTAAGTTTTTTAAGTAGGTACCTTATTATTAAAAAACAGATATTCTTATATTGATTAAGTTTTTTATTTCTTTCAAAACAAGAACTAATAGTCTATGTAAACTCGGGGATGAAGACTCTCTAATTTTTGCATAGCATGAGAAAAGCTCTTATAAAGTTTATTAACTTTTTTGTATAGTAATTCAATAACTAAAGATGATAAACACGTAAAGATCTATTTTAATTTCTATTTTAAAGCGGGTCCATAACATCCCTCCATAACATTCACAAACGTAATTAAATATTTCGATACTCACAAGAAACAGAATTGAAAATAGCTTTACTTTCACTATTGACCATCAGATTCTATTCTTACTAAGAAATAATCGAGGACACGACCGGTAACTAATGTGTAATTTTCGACGAAAAAAAATCCATGTCACTTGAATATTATTTAAAACAAAAGTATTAAAGTCGGTTTCAAAAAATTAAAAAAAAAAATGAATAAGGTGGACCAAAAAGCGCAATGAAGGTAATGATTTATTGATATTTGAATTAAGTATGTGGCGGCTATGGTAGACTAATAAACTGGATTGTTTCTCTTTGACGTGGAGACACTAGCTAATATCCTTCATTTAACCGTCTAAGTTATCGTATCGTATGTATCGTATATATTATCCGTATATTGACGGATTAAGTCACCGCCCCTATTCATCCCGTGGGTGTCATAAGAGCCTACTAAGGGAGCAAACTACGCAGGACAACAACACCGCAAAACGAAGGAAAACTTGACACAAACCCTATGCTAACCTGTTCGGCCATCGTGGTATAGTAGGACAAACCTTCCTTTCTAAGGAGAGACCTATGTCCAGCAGTGGACTATTAAACGCTGTTGATGTGATGATGATGATAATTATCTATGCATTCCTCTCAAGACTTTATTTAAAAACGTCTAGAAAAGTACAGCATTTTAATTTTACACTTAATTTTCATAACTGACCGCTTATTCTTATTAGCTCAAAAAAAACGGTGTTGCTAAGGATTGTCAGTAGTAGAAAAAAGGATCATCTAAGAGGTTTAAGCAATAACCCTCGTCTTGAAAATCAGTTTTTAAGCGTCACCGTAAATTTTATAATGTATCACATTTTCCTTCTTAGCTATCAATAGATAAAAAGCAAAGTTTATTGGCCAACCCTGTGGTTAGCCGCTTTAAACGATCTTAAAACGAGTGTTTATATTATATTTAACAGATATTTAACTTTGGATTACCGTATCTTGTACTAACAATAACTAAACTAATAATGCTATTTAGAACTACTTAAAAAAATGACGTCGCTTCGGAGCGGCCGAGTGGTCATTGGCCTCTTCAAGATCTATGTTACGATAATTCTTTCAACCGCAATGTATGGCCGCAAGCACTGAGGGGCAGTGCGGCTACGGGCACATGTGAATCGGTACAAAACACTATAAATAGGTATCCACTATGAAAATAAAAAAATAAATTGTAGCATATTTTTTTTTAAGATGTAGTAAACAGGTGTATGAAATCGGGTAAAATCGTTGTAAGAACAAAGCTTCCCTTGAAGTTTTTTCGAAAGCTTTAAGCCTTATTTCTGCGTAGGCTATGTCACGGCTAACATATATATATATATATATATATATATATATATATATATATATATATATATATATATATATATATATATAGTCATACATATGTATGTATGATACTTGGTTTAACAACGGACGTAGTTTAGCCTTCCGCTGCTTACTTTGTTTCATTGGAAATTGTGAGTTATATTCTGAGTTATAAAAAGTAAAAAAGTAATACTCGTATATAAAGCAATTGCTGATGGATAAATTAACAAAATCATTTCACTTAATATATATTTTGTAATAACGCATAAAGACCGTTCTAAGAAATTTGTGCAAACGTTTAGTTTCACTCTTAAATTTTCCTTCAGAAAGAAATGTGTACACAAAATTACCTACGCAGTTTTGTTTAAGTACTTATATAAACCCGAAAAAATGTTCAACATCACATTAAAAGAGACTTAGAACATGGAACATAAGTTTGTATGCTTTTATGAAAGTAAATAAATAATATGACAATAATAATAGTTATAATAGTTTTTGAACCCACGGCTAAAACTGTTTTAAAGTCATTGACTATGCCTATAAATGATAATGTCTTAAACCATACACTCACATAGATAAGACGTCAATTTTTAATATTGTTCGTATGTAGTATGCAAACGAATATATTAATATTTTATTATATGAAGGTACGTTAAAACTAATTTGCACCTATACAAAATACCTTCTCAACATTGTTAGGCAGACAAGAGAACCCAAGCACTAGCGGCACAATCGTAAATTATTGTTAAGTCGACGAACAAAGATTTTATCTTTATTATTCAAAGAATTTGATAAAAAAAAAACAACCTGTCATGTAATGCGAATAGAGCATTTGATACGCATCTAACTTATTATGTGAAACTACTTTAAGATTGTGTGAAACAATAAAAATATTTACATAAGAATAAATTTGACATTAACACAATACAAAGCCTTAACAATTTGTATTAGTTAGTGATCTGTCCAAGTAGGCAGTCGCAGGATTTATTCAACTTAAGTCAAACTATTCCGACTCTCTTAAATGGTTAGGTTAAAAAATCATCGTTTTTTTGTCTAATTGAATTACTATTTAGTACAATACAATGTGACTTGAATATTCTCTCAATATTATTTAGTTGATGGTGTCGGACTAGAAAACTCTACACATGTTAAAAAAAAGAAAAAAACATTAATTAATATAAAACTGATCGAATTTTTCTCCAAACTTATTTTTGGAGTGTTGTCACGATTTTTCAAAAAGTGCTCTGTCGCTGAATATCATATTTTCAAAATTCGTAAAACACCACATTCGCAAAACACGATATTCGCAAAACATCATAGGCTCAAAATATTATGATCTTATAAGACCACTTTCGCAAAACACAACATTCTTGTGATACCACATTCAAAGTACAGTCTCTAGCAATATGGTACTTGTTGTCATGTTAAGTTTTTTTTTAAACGGAATATCAAAAACAATTTTGAGAGAAAAAGATGTTTTGCGAATATCGTGTTTTGCGAATGTGGTGTTTTACGAAAGTGGTCTTTAGAGAATATGATCTTTAGCGACGGAGTGTCAAAAAGGTGTTGCTTCTTGTTTTGTTGTTCTAATTTTGTAAAAATAATAATTCCTTGTTAGACACAATAATAGTGGTTAATTTTGGTTTTAATTTCCTTCATGAGCTAGACATTTCCTTTATTAACTATACCTAGACACTTACTAACAGGAAAAAAATTAAGCACTTCTGAAATACGTATTTTTTATATGCTGAAATATGTGAAAATGTGTTTCATTTTGCTAGAAAAATAGTAAAAATATGCATTTCTCGATACATACATACATACGATATACTCATAATACCATTAGTATTGCGAGTCTATAATGATAATATAACAATAAATCTCACATATCTGACACGCTGCCATCTGATCCCAAACCAGGCAGAGCCTGTACGTAGTAACCAGGCTGCAGACACAGAACAAATGACCGTGCTCATCACACAATATTTGTCTGGTTATTTGTCCTGGGTGGGATTCGAACCCACGACCTCCGGCTTAGCAGTAAGGGCCACTAACCAGTAGACCAACAGGCACGTCGATCGTTTACATAAACAATTTATTTGTCGACTTAATGATATGAATTCATGAAGGGGTTGGGCTTCGGTTGGGCTCAGGTAACATCATTCACTCGGTGAAAGTAACGGAATAACTGCTTAACTTACTTACTAGCTTACTGCTGTTTACTATGAGGCCGTGGTATCACCCGGGTTGATCCCATCCATTTCTCTTTCACGGTAAGCGACATAACACTTAATGATTAAATGATGATTACCTATCTTTACCGCATCAGGTTGATGGTACAGTTAGCTCAGCGGTACCAGCCTGATTAATTTTCAGGTTAAATGAGCTATTTCAAATTTGCAAGGAAACAATAAGTTTACTGATATAGTAAGTAGTCAAAATGTAGGCAATGATAAAAATAAATGAAATATAACCGTCCTTCTCTTCTCCCATTTAAAAAATACAATGTTTATCGTATAAAATAATTTAATTAATTAAAACGTTCCTTCATTGTATTTAAACACGCACGCACGCCTTTATAAATAATGATCTTATAAAACACGCAGTTGTCAATTGTTATTTATTGCTGGCCAGTAATCAAAGGTTGACTTGGAACCACTCAGACTATTTTAGTACACGACAAAGTGGTTTCATCCATGTAATTACATCCTGATTTGAGCAAATTAAAAATTGACATCCAAAAAAATTAAGATGCTCCACGATACAAGGTATTACTATTCGCAAAAATTGCTAAAGTACTATTCAAAATACTGTGTCGCGGGGGACTTTACAAACATACATGAAACATACACAAAGAACATCCAGACTCAGAACGACAATTTGTGGATCACACAAAGTGTCGTCCCATGTGGGGATCGGACCCACAACACTCAGCGTAGTGTAGTCGTCGTTTGGTCGTCCAAATATTAAGTTAGTATAGTACAGTATACAAAAGGGCATCCACTGTTTTGCATCATTTGCAAATATTCTTCGCGGTAATCACTTAATCTATTTTAAGTGTTCTTTTGATCCATTTTACGACGATGTCGTGCTACTTTACGAGTGTTTTTGAACCCTTGCCTCCAGGCTCAGAGCTCACTGTCAATATACATAAACCGCTCAATCGTTTTAAAAGTCCAATTAACATTTAACTTTAAGTTTTTTTCGTTTCGTTAACCCTTGAAAATTGAACATGCTCGTACCTTACCTTTACAACTTTTTAGTATATTTTTGTAGTAAACATAGTAAAAACACATGTATGATATAATTTATTATATTATAATAATAACATTATCTTTTTTAAAAGGTTTAAAAAAATAATGTTATTGTTAGTATTAAAAAAACATTGTACCTCAAAAATCTTCAAGTAATTTAGAATGGTAATAAAACTTACCTCTTCATAATCCAATCTTGCAGTTAAAGTGAAAACCCCAGTCTGAGGGCTAAGAGAGAAGACGTCATTAGCCCAGTCAGAGATGACGGTGTAAGTGAGCTGGGCGTTGGGTCCTGAATCGAGGTCAATGGCCGCTACAGCACCAACCACTGAACCTCGAGCAGCGTTTTCGGGTATGTCGAAAGAGTATGCGCTTTCTTTGAAAACTGGTGGGTTGTCATTTGTGTCCGTCACCTGAAAATGTCGTCATATTTAAATAGGTATTATTACTTTGAGCAGTATATTATAATTTACAGTATGGCCTCTTTGAGATTTCCAACTCCAATAATATGATTAATTTATCCGTTTATCGGGATGTTATTTAACGAGATTTACAGAAAATTCATATTTATGTATCGGATTTAATAGTCGGGGAAAGGTCAATAAAGTTTCTACTCCACTTGTATTTTATTCTTTGCTAAATATACCTAAATAAATCGACATTTTAAATACAAAAATAACGTATAATTTTGAAATGCAGTAGAAAGATACCCTAAACAGGAACGTAAAAGCATCGGCGATTAGTTAATCGGGTGGTCATCCGTCGAGCAGACAAGTGGATGGAGGCACTATGATAAGAATCCTACTGATTTGAGCCGACGCGGCAATGGATCGAGATGCAGATGTTTGTATCCATGTACACTCGCGGACAACATCTTTATCAATTCATTTTACAACTCAGTTGTATGATTAAATATTTCTACTTTGTATAGATGAAATTTGAGAGATTTGAAGTAAATGAGAAATACGTAGCTTTTAATAACTGTCTTGCAGACATGAACATGAAGTATTTGTGTAACTGCTAACATTCATGAAATTTCAATTGCTTTATAATGAAATAAAAAAGGTATTTATGCAAATATTTTTTTAACTTGGATAAGTTGTAAGTACAGATTTTATTATTATACTAGCTGGTACCCGCGATTTCGTTCGCGTACTTAGTAGTGTCGCGTGTAGTATAGTACGCGACTGAAGTCTATGAGGCTCGGGTGCGATTCCCGGACCGGGCAAAATTTTATAGGGTTTTGCTGAGTAGAAAAATAGCAGCTAACTCCTTATATAGACAGCAACCTGGTGGTAAAATATCATGAAAATCGGTCAAGCCGTTTTGAAGATTACCCGAAACAAACAGACAGACAAATCGATGAAAAATATTGAAACTTGTTTTTATTCATAGGTAATCATGCAAATAACCGTGTGAGCATGAAAACACTTATTATTATGACATTACAAACAGACACCTAAATTTTATTTATATGTATAGATACCTATAATAATAATTATATTTATATGTGTACTGGTTTAGAACATCCTATCGAAGCTAAAAATCCCTTTCTAGGCGGACATAGCTAAACCATAAATGAAACTAACCAAATCACCTAAATAGTAATTTCTGGACAAACGATTTAAGATAGAACGATGTTTACAATTAAAATATCAATAAAAGTCTATAGCCAAGTATATCTTTTAGGCTTTTTTCTTTAAATAAATAAAAGATACAAATTTTGTACCGCTGAATTAAACCACAGTGAGATTACTAGATAAAAATTTAAAAAATATATTCTTTGAAAGTTAGTACATATATATTTAGTAAAGTTATTAACAGTCGTTAACAACTAACATGTGTTTGTTTTGTAGCAACGGTAGTAGTGCTATTAAAGCGTGTTTACGATATACAAAAATATAAATACTTTTGTTATCGAGTGTATATCTAACATTACAAGATCTAAATATCTTTATTACGAATGCATGTAACTCGAGTTACACACATAAAAAAAACAAGTAAAACAACAAACCTGAACAACGACGGTAACATCCGTGTACTGAATACCATCGTCAGCTCTGACGATGACATGATACTCCGAAATAGTTTCTCTATCCAGAGGATCTTTGAGAGTTAAAAGCCCAGTATGTGGGTCTAAAGAAAACGGTGTTATTTCATCATTCTGTATACTGTAGGTGATAGTCCCGATTGTGTCAGGGTCATCAGCAGCGATGTTGGCGATACGCTGTCCAGGTGCTAAGTCTTCTGATACCAAATACGACGGTGGTATGTTCTTGAACTCCGGAGGACTATCGTTCTTGTCAAGAATTACGATTTCCACCTGAAAAGAGAGGAATTAATATTATTTTATTATATATTTTATGCATTATGGTGGGAATAAAGTCGTAGAAGTCGTAGACAATATAAAATAATTTATTATTAGATAACCATGTAAGTAAAACTGATTCTTGAAGCTTGATAGCAATTCATTAATTTCAGTGGTCCAGAATATTTTAATTTCGGGTCTAAAATCCGAAACTTTCAAGTAAAACAAAGTAAGGAAATAATAAAGTATTTAAGCAACAGACGACGGAACAAAACAGACGCAGAAGTCTGGTGATCTTTTATGTATAAGGTTGGCACAAAATCGGCCACTTTAACACGGTATAAGAACACGAACCAAATTAATAATTCTAAAAATGCAGCCAGCGAGCGGGTCACTCGACAAATGTGCGACTCCACTGACGGGTGTTCATTCTCCGACAGACGGGATGACAAAATGCGCCTGTGGCCCTTTTATTTGATACGTTCCTACCTCAATATCCAATCGTTTTATTTTTCCTGAAACGGTATCATAACTATGGATTAATGTCATCAGTGTATTTAATTATATTATTTGTCTAGGTAATATCCAACTACGATAAGGCCAATAAGATAATCTTAGGATTTTATTTTTATGCTAAGATTCAAATGTTTTTTTTATATTTTTGTTTTTAGAGTAGACACGACTGCAAATGAATATGAAATATATATTCATTAAAAGTTCTAATTACGTAAAATAATATTTTGCGATCACATCGCACATCAGCAGCCTTTATTAGTCCACTGCTGGACATAAGCCTCTCCGTAGAAAGGATACATAAACGTATTGGATTATAAGAAAATCAAAAATAATTTGTGAGCTGGATGCTTCACATTTGACGTTAGTATATGTGATACTAACTGCATTCATCAATATGATTAATGGAGCAGTTTTTTTCCTTTTTTGTAATTTAAACTTTTTCTGCTTTTTGGTGGGCCCAAGTTTTTTCTTTCTTTATGTTTAAAGAGAATTTTTGATGAGTTTTTGTTCGAATATTTTGCAAAGATTGATTATAGCAGAATAATTACCTATTGATAGTCGTTAATAAACAAAATGATAGATAATTACGTTTTTGTTTTAGTGGCTTATGAGTCATATTGATCGACTGATTTTGATTGCCTAATTTTTTTTTGCTCTGTGATTTTAAAATGAAGACAGTGTTTAATCCTCGTTTGATGAGATGTATTAGATAAGATTTATGAAGTCGGAGGCAAGTTCTATAATCGTGGTGACTGGACGTTTACAAAAAATCACTCGTAAAGAACTCGACAAGTCAACAAAGGCAGAGAGAAGTAAAAGACTAAAACGCACCAGTATTTCGTTATTGGTACTGTGAAGCACGAACTATTCGAGACACAATGATTCGAGCCGTCACAGATAAGAACAGACCGATTGTAGAGTTCCCTGCCCCCTGCCCGCCGAGGACAGGCTGCGCATTTGTTATGATGACTCAATCTTTTCTTTGTATCTGGTAGAGGGTGTCGTCTAAAGAAATCTTCATAGAAAACCTATACTAACGCCTACGGAGTTTTACGTAAGAGAAGCAGCAATTAAATTTGATTGTGTGATCTTGGCTTTCGAGGAAATAAATTGAAACGTGTTAATAAATTTTATTGTTCAAAGGTTAAGAATGCGTGAGAACCTAGAGATTGATTGTAAACATTTACTTTACAGCCAAACAAATTCCCAGCGTGTTAAATTATTTTTTGAATAGAGATGATTTAACACGGAAATGACAGGTTTGATTGTCTCGGCCGTGGTCAGCAAATGACGGATATTCGATATCTGGGTAGATAGTGTAGAGGTGTACGTAAGTGTTATAAAATCAAACAGTGTATTAAATTGTATGAGATGGCAGAATATGTGCCGTCAGCAGTGGCGTGCAGCTAAGATAAACAATGTACAGACGAGTTGGCAAGCGCAACATACGTCATAACAAAAAAAGCATTAAGATTTATTATGAACAAAAATGTTAGTTGCGCGTAGCTCGTCTGACCGAGAGCGCTAGTGGACCCCCTAGAGTTCATGTTTGAAGTAATCGATTAAGGGAAGAGAAATGACAGAACGTCGGTTTATTGGGTCCGTCGATTACTCAAGTTTCGATAATTGATTGCGCTCCGCTACTAGATTAATAAGAAACATTGAATGTTTCCTTGTAGCATGCGTGTCTTGAAAAATGACCCGTACTTAATAGATACAAAAAAATGACAATATCAAAACTCGAACATCTTATCGTTTGAATCTGTTAGGAATATAAATTGTAATATAATTTACATATAGTGAGAAGAATAGCCATTAAGGTCCTTATATGCCAACACATACGGGTTCTATAATCACCGCATTGAACTAGAACCAATGCAATTATCGTAATATGAACGGAGTCCGTACGAGTGTGTTGTCGTTCAATATACTAGTAGTTTATATGCTTTTTATTATCTGCCTATGTATTATAATTAAATTAAACTTATCGAACTTCTAACACAACTATTCTATTACAATTTGTCTGCCTATTATTCGGTGCAAAGCGTTGATTACACTGCAAATATGTAGACAACATGTCAACAAAAAAGCTAAATCTGTTTTAAGATTAGATGATAAGGGACTATCCTTATCATCGGAAGGTCAATAAATGAAACTAGGAGTAGCGAAAGTAACATTGTATCTACATTTTTCAATAAAGCCTGATTGATTAAACTACTTAGTTCTGGGTGAGGCACTGGATGAAGTTTGGCACAGGCATAAAGAAAGTGTGTACGTTAAGACTCTCCTTGAAATGTTAAGGTTTTTAGGTAAAAGGGCAATGTGCCTTCTCTTTATCATGTAAAGCTGGGAATAAACAATGATAAATGATACAGTAAGTGTTGGTTTTTAGGACTTTAAGTAGGTATCCCAAAATCTAAAAAAATATATAAAGGGTCGTTGTTTTTTAAGAATAGAAAATGTTATTAAGTTTATTTATAGTTTTTTTGATAAATGTGTGACACATAACGCGTTATAATGAGAGATTATACATACGTTCTGTTATATTTTATGGAGCATAAAAACACTCTTATTTTTTTATTCATGAAGACATTCTTCTCCCTTCCTGTGTGGTTCATCTCACTTTAAAGTTCGAGGTATTTTTAAACGTTATTTTTGATTTATTATACATTACGAAAGCTAATACTTCGAAGGTAGATTCGATAAAGCATTGCATTTTTTTTCTGTTTTTATTCTAAAATAAACTAAATTTCATACACGAACACTAATTACCTACAGAATTAATTTTAATCAAACACGAATATAATTTATATGTCAAAATTCGCGTAGCACACGGTATATTACTACAAGATTAACATTTTTCATGCAATTATCGTTTCGGTTCAGCCGAACCTGAACCTTAAAGTCTATACGGTCTGAAAGATGGCCACACGGCTCTGTCGTTTTTAAAACAGTGTAATTTTACGAACATCAATCATTTAAGTCTTTTGCTGCCAAAATTTTACGTCACTCCCTTAGTTATCTCATTATATTCTTTATATTTTTGCGCTACAAAAGGAAATCATAATTCTACAAAATAATAACATAGGGAACAATTAATACTGTAAAGTGAGAGTGAAATATATAATGTAGGTTATAGAAATAAAAGAGCGAACGGGACAAGTTGTCTGGACAGGCCTTGTAGACATCAAGGTACACTTCAAAAACTCAAAGAGTACTGAACCGATTGAGCTTAAGTTTTTACACGATACAATACCCCCTTCGAAGATGGTTTTTATGTATTTATCGCGTCACTTTTGTGCGTCATTGATCATAAATACAACCACAATGTGCCACAGTGAAGCGTTGCAGGGTACAGCTATTATTTAATATTTTACTGTGACTTAACTAAAAAACTTACTAAATATCATGGCATAAGGTGAAAATTAAGTCTCAGATGTATCCCAAAATATTATATAGCTAATTATACTTATACATAGCTTTATAAAGAGATCAAAGTACTTACGTTTTTTAGGCTTAATGGTTGAAAACCTTTCTGGATATTTATCTAGAAAAGTTCTCTAGTATTAAGGGAATTTTTGAAACTGGCTTAGTTTAGCGTACTTACTCTTAAGGTTTCTAATATTAAGATATTGAAATATAATGCATATACGTAAGTCTAATATGGAAGAAAATAGAGGAGACCATTTTTTAAAAACGTTTAATTCTAATTTTTAACAAGATTATAGTTTGTACAATAGTGGCTGAATTAATTTTCCATTTACATATCAATTAAGCAAATGACTGTGTTTATAAAATATGTATTGCAAACTGTAACCAAAGACAAAATAGCGGAATAGTATGTATATCTTAAATAGAACGAATAATGCGATTACTTATTTAAACAACCATCGTGATAAAACTTAAAACAATTGTTTTAAAAATATTTTATTGACAGTTATTAGAGACAAGTTATTTTATTATAAAATATCTTGAAAAGCACCCTACGCTTTGTTACGATAAATGTTACGTAGAAAAAGGCACTACCGTATTTGTAAGTATCAAAAACCCGTCAATTCTGAAGATCCTGATCGGGACATTAGACCAAACTTATCAAATTATTGTTTTATCCCCTATGTCCCTGATAAGTGTGCGAAGTTTCAATTTTATTCGACGTTTTGTAGTGGGTCAAAATCACGTTCGAAGATTCCGATACATATACATACATGCCAAGCTAACAAAAGCGTATTAAAGCGCATTTTAACAAAAATATCACCAGTACATTTTTCTACCCCACTATTTTACTGATTTAGGTTTGAAATTATCGTCGGAGAGCCATGTGTACATATGGGCCGACATACCATATAGTTATATTACGGCCTCATAGAAATCCTATGTCAAGCAATACTTTCATTACTTTTGTTTCGACTGTTTAAGCGATCGCCATGCCGCTTCCTTCTACGCTGAGTGCCGTGGGTTCGATCCCCACATGGGACGACACTTTGCGTGATCCACAAATTGTAGTTCTGAGTCTGGGTATTCTTTGTGTCCGTTTCATGTATGTTTGTAAAGTCCCCCGCGACATAGGATATATTCCTAATGCTGATGTTGTTGTTAAAAAAAAAACTTTTCACCTAGTGAATGAGGTTACCAGAGGTCCAAACTCCCCCTCCTCCTGTGTCCTCCTACATTCCTCCTACTGTCTGAGGGGAGTGGGGACTTAAAAGGCGGCAATACACTTGTGACTCTGTGACTGTGAGTTGCAGGTGTCAATGGGTGGGGGGGAGGCGGAAGTTACTGACAGCTGGTATTTAATACATCATCATCAAATTATTGTTTGAGCGGTTTTCTAATTCTTTGTCTAAAATATAAGGAACCAGAGTCGGTTGCCCGTGTATCAATATTATTGATATATTTTATTAAACAACTAACCGTGCCCGCGCGGCTTCGCTCGCGTTCATATTTTTTATGAAGGATCAGCTACCTAATAGTGAAAGTCATATGAAAACCAGTTTCATTTCGCAGATCAGTCAGAACAGACAAACCAAAATTATAAAAAGGGGATATTGTGTAAGTAAAAAATTAAACCTAAAATTTCAACAATGCAAACAGAACCAACAATGATGTTTATAGTACAGTCATACGCACATCCTTGACTTTTAACAATCAGAAACAATAAAACGGCCAAGAGAAAATTTAAACGTACTTAGAAAATGGTGTTGAGTCTATTTACTATATTTGTACTGAGAGAGAAATCTAGTAGACATCAATTAAAATTTATCATAAGCAGGTAAAGGTTTTGCTTATATGTGTATATACATACTGTTACCGATGCCTGTGATCGAGGCACTACCTATTTACCTATTTTATTTTTGATGACCTGTTCCTACTCAACGACCAAAGGGTTTTACCGATGTCAAAATAAATTAGCGTCATCTTTAGACGTACCATTTCCCCTTTGGGTAATGGCGGAACAAATTTCGAAGGGAACGAAGAGCCTCAATTATGTCTGCAACGACGAGACTGCCTTGATTACTTGATTCTAAAAATGGTAAAAGAATCTAAGAATTAATTTATTTTGACATTTTTAACAATAGAAACAAAATTGCAAGGAAGTAATAAACGAAACATCGTATGCTGCAATATTATTAATAGCTCTTTTTTATAGTAAGTTCTTCAGTAAAATGTTAACGGATTTAGTAAAGACATACACTCTCATACAAAAGAAGTTTAAATGCACAGAGAATTAAGAATTTTCCCAATATGGGCTAGTATATAAACTTGTATTGGGCATTCAACAAGAATCTAAACATTGTGAGAGGTTATATGACCATAATATTGTAAAACATAGGACAAATCTTGAATACCGTTCCAGCGCTCGCGTATACATGTACACCATAGCCGTAAGGCTGGTAACACGAACTTATGAGTGGATGCTGTCGACCGACGGATATGGTGGCATCGTTTAGGGCTAGACTCTATGTTTAGAGCGCTTCGTGACCGCAGCGCGGCCGCTATCCCCCCAGGACTCAAGCACAATTATGTTATGGTGTCAGAGATTAGTGGTCTAGAGACGCGATATTGATCTTTATTACTTGTATTTATTTTGTACCGGTGTTAAAACTCATACTACTTGTCTCATAATTCTCTTTTCCAGTCATCCCTGAGTATGATGTAGTTTTTAAACAACTATATTTTAATTTCAAAAATACCTAACAGAGTTCTTATTATATTCTACTTAAAAATACAGTATACTTCTTGAAACGACATAGGTACGTAGTTCTATTCTGGAGAGTGTTGGCTCATCATAATGGAAACATACTAATGTTTAATTTACCTAAGTCCGTGTCTGCGTGCTCGCACCGTTTACCGCATACATTAGCATGCGGGCATTGGATCCGCCCACACCGGCTATCGGCCTCATCCTCACAAATATATGTAAAATATGCACAAAAGTATCCCGGATAAAGTGCACCGATAACAGGCGACGCAATTTGCATAGCCCTGAGCACATTGGTCGAAACCGTTTCGGACCTATGTTTACCGAAAATAATGTCCATTGCTTATATTATAATATAATTTGGAGGTATGCCACCAAAGCCTCTATCTAAAATGTATGCTTAAAATCAAAAGTAATAGCATACTTTCCAAAAAATAATAGATTACAAGTATCTATCAGTGCTTCATTAGTATCGAATGATATGATACATGTCTTATATGATTCCTTAGTCGGGTGGTTCCAATTAAAGCAAACATGTGGTGTGTGAATCTAGTGATTAATAAATAAGTAAGGTTGCGTCAATACTTCATACCATGATTAACCAAAATTAACGTACTCTGAGCCAATTTTTAGCTGCCAGCGATTTTTCAAACGGCCGAATCTAGATGATAGCCGAATTAATATGAAGCTGAATAAATATGAACGTTTAAAGCTTCATATTTGTCATTACTTCTCAATCTTATATTATCAATAGTCTAAGTAGTCGGACTACTCTGATCCCAAATTTGATAAACATACATTTATGTTCCTAAATAGGTACACACTACAGATAAATGATTATTGTCGTCGTACGATCATGCTCATCACACAATTATTTGGTTATACGGAACCATAACCAAATAATTGGTTATGGTTCCGTACCTCAAAAGGCAAAAAAATATCCCTTATATATATCTTATATAAGATCACTTTCTTGTCCGTCTGTCCGTCTGTCCGCGTGTCACCACCGATTTTCTCAGGAACGGGTAGACCTAGCAAGTTGAAATTTATAGCATACTGAGGTCTATGGTCTCCATTAGGTGTATAAAAATCAAGGTCCTGAGTCACGATAAAAAGATATGGACAAATTTCAATTTTCGCGAAAACTTGTAAGTACCAAAATTTACCTTAATTTTCAACTTTTTTATTTTTCAGAATTTTCTCTTTCTTGTTTTGTAAGACCTTGCTTTTAACCAAAATTCACAATTCTAGGTCAACTGGAAGTACCCTAAAGCTTTTGGGTCGAAAACCTATATGGTAGTTCCCGTTGACCTAGAATTACGAAATTTGGCAAAAAGAAACGCCATAAAGCACAAATAAAGAAATTATTCCAAAAAATAACCAAAAAAAATGAAAATTAAGATAAACTTTTGTACTTATAAATTTTCGCGGAACTCTACGTAAGATCAGGGTAGGTACGGAACCTTAGGCGAACGAATTCGACTCGTACCTGATCGGTTTTTTTTGAGTGAGAGTTAGTGTTAGAGAGTTTTGAGAATCGAACATCTGGCTTAGCAGTACGAATCGCTAACTACTACATTAACAGGAAAATTTATAAATTAAATTAGACATTAATGGCACATCCATATTTTAAGAATATTTAGATTGTGTTAAAATCGTTTCCATCGTGCTATATGATCTTGCTAAATAAAATTTATTATTATAAATGGAAGGATTATACTGCTCGCGGGAAGGCACGCAAGCACCCTCAATTTCTCCTAAATTCACCACCCGAGGGCACTATCGTCATATTATTGCCTGATCGATAGAATAATTTCGTAATAACATCGCGAGTCTCAAATATTTCGGAATAAGATAATCAAATTTTACATACTTAAGTTAGCAGTTGAATTTAAATTATTATGAACCAGCTTGTCTTAAATACACTACAGTAATTACTCAAATCAATTTTTTGTATCAAAAATAATCATATTTGTTAAGTAATTTTTTTACCTAAAGATATCAAAGCCTCACATTGTTTATTATTGTTTATGCTTATAATAGAGTAATAAAATATAGTATCTAGCAGATTTACGAAGCTAAAGTGAACGATGCAAAGGTATCTAAGTGTATCACAGTAAACAATATTCACCGTCTCCTTGCAAATAAATTAGGTACACGAACGAAAATCACGAGTTCTGAATTTTTCAACGTCAGTCGCGCATCGAGATTGGCGCTTGCGCAGCGGCGAACACAAAGCGGTTAACGATTAACGAACTAAAGCTAAATGAGGGCGAATCATTTTTATTTTAGATAAGCATTATTTTTCGTTAGGATGAAACCAATTCTGTGTGATTTTAAGATAAAAAAAAAAACGTAAAAACATGAACTAAACGCGGCACGTAAACCATTGATGTTAGTAACCCGCGAATCTAACCCATTCCCAAACTCAAATGTTGACTCGTGGCAGTCGTTTGTTACAAAATACTCTTTTGTTTAAACGAAATCCTTTTCGAATCATGCGATATTATCTTCAATCTTTGAATGTATCAAAAATCACGAGTCATCTCGATGAAAATAATAGCAATAGTAACAAAGGAATTATAATCTCTACTGCCAAAACCGTACAATAACACCGGTCGTCGTCTCGCAGGTGGTTCTAGCGATTTATCGGTGGGCGATACAACCGTTTGATAATGACTGGGCACTTCGGCCGACAGAAGAGCGATGTCGCAACCAGCTCGCCGATTTCGGTCTGCCCGTCGGTCATCTCTAACGATGGAGCGATAATTAAGATCGGACGTCGGCATTATTTACGCCCGCAGCATCCTGCCTGACCTGAGCTCGAGTCGGTCACGACTTTTTTCATGTCGGGCGAGACTATTGTTGCGTTTACTTGTGTTTAGTTTAGCTAGATCTGTTTAGCATGGAGGATTGGTTTGTTACGTTATTAACTATCGACCAGCGACCACTCGTGTATTGATAGACTTTATGGCCCTTAAGAGTCGCAGTAAACTTGAAGTAATAGAGATGTTCTATACTGACGTCCATGTTGAGGTTTAGCGTATAAATAAATCGGAAAGCAATGTTTGGTGGTTAAACTTCTGTTTTTGCTTAGAGCTACAAGTTATGTTTTTTTTTTCTTCAAAAAGACAACTCCCGCATTAGGAATATATCCTGTGTCACGGGGGACTTTACAAACATACATGAAACGGACACAAAGAACACCCAGACTGAGAACAACAATTTGTGGATCACAGTGTCGTACCATGTGGGAGATCGAACCCACAACACTCAGCGTAGTAGTAAGTGGCGTGGCGACAACTTAAACCACTACGCCATCCGTGAAGTTAATGTATCTTTCTAATATACATTGTTTCTGAGTTCATACTAATGTGGCATTGTTAGTGCGTTTATCAAGAATCTGCGGCGACACTGCTCGCTGCTGCTTTATGATAATCTCCGTTTCAAGTTAGTACCGTGATCTCCGCTCAGATACAACTCATCACGGTGCTTTTAGTTTTCTATTAACTAGTAATATATCTTATTGTATAAAGCATAGTGTTAATTTTTGTTTTATTCAAAGTTAAATTTAAACCACTTGAATTTTATTTGATGTTATTAATATTAACCGACTCCTACCTTAAGTAGCTTTAGAAACTTTGACTTAATACGTTGGTTCTGCATAATAAATAATAACCTCACACATCTCACACACGCGAGTCTGATCATAAACTAGGCAGAGCCTGTACTAATGATAAACTTACTAATATATTTAAATGCACACATATAGATAAATTACACCCAGACAAAGAACAAACTATCGTGCTCATCACACAAATATTTGTCCTGGGTAGGAATTGAACTCACGACCTCCGACTCAGGGTCAGGGTCATTAACCACCAGATCAACAGGCCCGTCAAAAATACAAACAGACTTAAAAAATTGATAGAGTATTTTTTCTAAATTACCACTTTATGAATTGTCGCGATTACCTGACGGCGTCTGTATTAAATTAATATATAATTCTAGTGATTCGTATTTACTGTTCTTAATTTTACTTTTATCGACGATACGTCAAATAGGTAGATGAGACTTATAAACTAACATAAAGCGGAAATAATAGGTGCGTACCTAACGTTATAAGTGTAGTTCATTTAAAATAATTTCACTAAACGTTATGGTGTCGTGTAATACGAGACGTTGTCTATGGAACTTGTATTGTAATTTGCAAGCAGAACACTGTTGGACCACCTGGTGGGATTTTGATGTGACAGCAAAGCCACATTGCAGACGCTTTGTTACCGATCAACCAAGACCAAATGGGTACTAACAATAATTAGGTGTAATATCCACTGATATATTTTAATAACCCATGTTTTATTAAAACGCCTTCCATGAAAGAGGACTAATATTTTTACTGTGCCTCTCTGACGGATACCTACCTATACTACAAAACCGAGACTACTGATTAACTTTGACTTTTTTGTTTCATTATCAATTAAATGTTACATATAATTTTGGTTTATAGGAATGGTAGATGGATCTTACCCGAAGTAATCTTCAAAATATCCGTACCTATGGCTTTTTAAAGTTGCAACAAGATTCAACTGTGTATAAGAAACACTTGTTCTGATAATGGAACACAGAAACAAAAAATATACCTTTTCATAAAATTTCTTCGGTTGTGTCAATAATCATTAATAAAATCCAAAGAAAAATCCTTACGTTTATAATATTATATTTCTAACTTATGTTTTGTATTATTACCAAGTTGAATTTGCTCGAATATACTAGAAATATGCTTGTTATCTAACCGCGCAAGGAATATATAAACTGGTTACAAACTAAGAACCTGTTGCTTAGTAGTAAAACAACGATCACGCATATAGTGACAATTTTATCACAACGTTATACGCCCGCCGTGTTTTTATTATACTCAAAACGTCCCTTAACCGCAAGGTTTTAATAGCCGTGCGATATTATAACATCCATACAGCCTTAGGAAATAATACGCACGGTTTTTATTCCTAACGATTCATTACACGGAGAACTAGCATTCATTATGATAACTTCACTTGTTGAAAATAATTGGTTGTAAAATTTTCAACATTTATGACAGCCATATATTAGACCAATGTTTATTTTAGAAATAGTGCTGACATGACATCTCATTACTTACGTGCGAATCCAATAACAATGGGTGTATTCTTAATCTTAAACGT